ATGAATGCCGTGAGATGACTTAAAGCTGATACACCCTCCAGTACTCCCCATGCAGCATAACCAGCAATCCCAGTCAAAAAAACTCAGCCCAAAACCTGTGTTAAATACCCACAATTAGTAGTGTTTTAGAGGGAAAAAAAAAAAAGAAAAAAAAGCAGCTTGCTGTGTGGTTTGCTTCTCATGCAGAAGGAAAAGAATGGAGGCAGCCCAAGAGGTTCATTTCCTAAAGAAGAATTCAAGTACTGGAAACCATTTCACTGAACACGGATTCCTTTTCCAGCCTCTGGCATTCAGTAGCTTGGCAACACAAGGAGGGCTAAATGGAGATCCCATCATGGGAGGGAGCCCTTGACATTCCTGCATACTTGCAATTACCCTCTCCTGCCTCTGTTGCATCCTCATGGCTGTAAACAATGCTCTCCACCATACAAAGCAAATGATCTGACCTAAATTCAAAGCAACATGCATGCTGACAGCTGGTAACAGTGCCAGAAATGAAATATGGTCAGATTAAGGGCAGTTTGTCTACCCCAAGTCTCTTTCTCCTCTCTGGAGCCATCCCACCCAGCACAGCAAATTTCCTCTTTGAGATATCACTGGAAGCACTGTTTCCCCACTCCATCCTGATATAACCCCATCCTCCACAGCTCGTTCTTTACTGTCAGCTCCCGAATAAATTCTCAACCAGGGTGTAAGCCCAAATCTACACCACTCTCTAGAGAAGCAAAAGCCCCATTGATCTCCCTCTTTCTTATTACTGTCTCATGCCCATGAGCATCATTACGGCTCAGTGGTCACACAAAATGGTCAGGGCAGTTTTAGCTCCATGGGTTTTTTCTCTAAGCTTTTCTCCACAGTGGTAAGCAGGAAAGCTGAGAGCATCAGAGGACAAGGTTAACACGCAGGCAGGCACCCTTTGGAAACCAGACAGCTTAAGGCTTAACTACATACTAACATACTAACTAGGAGCTGTATCAGCCTGGTATGCTCAAGGTATACCAACTGCTAAAAGGTGAACATTTATTATACCATCATTGAAACCATTCTGGGATTCTATAAATGAACTCTTAAGAACTCAGGCTTCTTAATTTTGGCTTTGAACTACTTTAACCCCTCCACTGCCAAACCATAAAAAGGTTCAAATCTGCTGGTTTAAAATTAAACCACTTGACAGAAGCTAGGCTGGACTTTCACACCATTAAGCAAACACTTCTCCACTTCAAACAGGAGGCAGCTTGAATCCAGGGTACTTGTTTTGTCTTCAGAGTGCCCTGGCTCACACACAAGTGCCCCCACACAGTATATTTACCCTCGCCCATGACAGCACGGACTCACCAGGGTGGGATGAGTGAGTGCACGCTGCACCACCAGCACAGGGATGAGGCTGTTGGGCAAAGCCTGAGCCAGCACACTTCCCACCAGGTCCACAATGGACAGTCCATCAGGAGCCTTGTGCCAAGCCGCAAACACAGAGGCCCAGGACGGTAGGTAAACCAAGCACTGTTTGTTCTGCAAAGCCCGGTTCTTAAACCTATGACTAGGACCATTACAAATTTATTTTTTCCCTCTACTAGATAGAGGCTTGACATTGCTCATGCATAGCAGAGGCAAGGGATACCGCTGCCATGGTTTGTCATATTAGAGGGTAAATGCAGCCAATTTCTCCCTCAAACTCTATCCAGAGATAGGTTTTGACAGTAGCAAGCTGCTTTGCTTCATTTCCTTCTGTGAAGAGCATACCAGTGGTTTCAAAGCACTGGCTCTGGAAACAGACAGCTATTATGAGGCTTTGGTTAAATCAATTAATTGCCTGAAAAAAGCTCCTTACACCACTTGTCTGAGGGCCACAAAATGATACATTTATCACCAGCATTTCAATAATTCCAGAGGAGAAACTCAAACTCCTATGCAGAACTTCATTTAAGTTGCAGTCATTTCAGGCTCACTCATCATCTCCATGAACACATACCGGATTATAAACCTACCCTACGATACAACACAATCTAGTTCCATTTTGCAAGCCCTGAAAAGCCTGGCCAATTGATATATTTTATATGTTAGAACATCTTTTATTAGGTTTTTCCTTATGTCTCTTGATGACAAAGCCCTGTACTTTTCACATTGTAGTAAAGACCTACAAAGAACTAACAAACTGCATATAAAAGGCAAAAATTATCCTGTGTCTTTAAGCCTCATGTTGATAACAATATGTCAGTGAAGAACAAAACACAAGAATGTTTAACACTTCTCCCATGAAGCACCAGTCCAGATCTGTGACATTAATAAAAGCACTTGTGTTCAGTGTAGAAGGAAACTTTGGAGGCTCTAAACAATTTTGGCAATGACGCAAGCTGTATTATGACATAAAAGTTTGATGTGACTAAAGTCTTTATACTTCTGTACCACTGTTCAAACAGTAACATGTCCAGGCAGCTCTTGGAGTTCTGTTGGACTGAGTCCAGAGGAGACCACAAAGACGCTCCAAGGGCTGGAGCACCTCTGCAATGGAGGCAGGCTGGGAGAGCTGGGCTTGTTCAGCCTGAAGAAGGTTCACAGATGACCTCAGAGCAGCTTTCAGTGCCTAAAGGAGCCCACAAGAAAGCTGGAGAGGGGCTTTTGACAAGGGCAGGTAGGGACAGGACAAAGGGGAATGGCTTTGAACTGGTAGAGGGCAGATTTAGATAAAACATTAAGAAGTTCTTACCTGTGAGGGTGGTGAGGCACTGAAACAGTTTGCCCCAAGAACCTGTGGCTGCCCCATCCCTGGCAATGTTAAAAGCCAGGCTGGACAGGGCTTGGAGCAACCTGGTCTAGTGGAAGGTGTCCCTGCAAGGTTTGGAAATGGATGAGCTTTAAGATCCCTTCCAATGCAAACCATTCCAGGATTCTGTGAATCTTAGTCCACTCTCCAAGAGCAGGCAGGAGCAGCTCCTGTGCCACAGTCTCCAGCCACCAGGTACACTGTGAGGTGTACCCACTTCATTTTTCAGCTGCTAACAGTAAACACACTGATAACATTCCATCAGTTAATAGTCCCCCCCCTTTTTTTTAATAATGAAAAACCTCCTATCCTAAAGCCCAGTTCTAGAGAAATGCTACCTTAAATTTTGCTCCACAGTATGACAAGGGGGTGGATAGAGTATTTTTACTGCAACTACACAGCCAAATGAATAAAAGGGAGTAGATCATTTTTCAAAGATGTTTAATAAGAAGAAATTACAGACTGAAAGTCCTCCGGGCACACGAAATTCATCTAATACAACAACTCTAGAATGGGTCACTTCTTAATATTACAGTTTTTTGCTTTATCATGGAAATGTTGGACTAGTACAAACCACACAATACTGAGCAAGATGCAATAGCTAGTGCTAAAACCCACAACAATACAAGTATGGCACCAAGAATGCTAAACTCTATGACATGTCATTAGGATTTACTTTTGGCAATCCTGGTTCACACTAATTCAGTTTAGAGATTCGTTCCCAGTCAGCATCAGCACCAGGTTCAGTTCACATGCATTTTGTGCAAAGTACACTTTGAAATTCATTAAATAATTAGTTGTGCAAACATATCTTCCTTTCACAGTAAAACAACAGTGATTTCGGGATCGGAAACAAACAAGAGAACCCCGGACAGTATTTTATTTCACAGCACATAGTGAATGTACATGTAATTGCCGTATCCAGCAAGTAAGTAAAGTGCATGCCAGTAACAACTTGGACTGTAAATTGAGAACTTGCAGTGTAGTACTTAAATCTAACAAACTAATATGAACTAATACAAAACAAGGCAGAGTAAGATCTTGAAAATTAACATACACTATGTGATTTCCTGTACCATTCTTTAAAAGGTAGGCTGAAATATCCTGGCACAGGAAATTTTCACAACTATTAGTGGAATAAACAGTTCAAAGCTTCATTAGTTAAAAATATTGCACCAAAATTGTTATATTTGAAAGCAGTAAAAGAAGAATTTTCTAATATAGACACTTAAAAAAAAAAACAAACCCAACAAACAAAAGCACACACCCCACAGCCCCCCCCCACGCATGTATTACAACAGCTACTTTGAACTAAAATAGCTGCTGAACTGTAGGAACTGAAGAAATTAGTGTTCTCTGCCACAGGCAACAGACATGTGCGCTCACAGTCCAGAAAGCCAACTGTGCCCTGGGCTGCATCATGACGAGCAGCTTGCTCTTTCTAAATGTTTCATTCTAGATTTCAAGATAGAAATGTCCATCTTGAGCAGATCCAAAGGAGGCCACCAAGATGATCCAAGGGCTGAAGCACCTCCGCTATGGAGACAAGGCTGAGAGAGCTTGGCTTGCTCAGCCTGGAGAAGAGAAGGCTCCAGGGAGACCTTAGAGCAGCTTCCAGTGCCTAAAGGAGCCAACAAGAAAGCTGGAGAGGGGCTTTTGGCAAGGGCAGGTGTGAACAAGACAAGGGGGAATGGCTTTAAACTGACAGAGCGGAGACTGAGATGAGATATGAGGAAGAAGTTCTTCCCTGTGCATATGGCCAGGCACTGGAACAGGTCGTCCTGAGAAGCTGTGGCTGGCCCATCCTGGCAGTGTCCAAGGCCAGTTTAGATGGGACTCTGAGCAACCTGGTCTAGTGGAAGGTGTCACTGCCTGAACAGGGGGCTGGAACAGAAAGATCTTTAAGGTCCCTTCCAACCCAAACCATTCTACAATTCTACACTACATGGACTACCTGGAATCTCTCCTATGTAGTATCAAGTAGGTTAGGAGGGGAAAAGGTCTCACTGTGCTGTGGTCTCCATGGAGCCAACTGTGAACTCAACAAAACTTATTAGGCTAAAAGTTTGCAGTATTCCCTTTTCTTTTAGAAATAGACCTATGAGAGGTCTTGAAAAGTTCCACCACCACTTAGTACAAACAAGCAAAAGCCATGAATTAGGTGGGTGTACCGCAACTGCCAAATATTATACAGATGCCTACAGCTCCAGCAACAGGCCCCTCAGTCTGTGAGTCTGAGAGAGATACACAAAAAACACATGATGCTCTACATGACTCATGAAGTTCTTCCCATTTGGAGTCAGAAATGAATGGTAGAGAGATCCTTGGAAAATGAAGAACAGAGCAGCAAAAGGACAAGAGACCTTCCACTGACACTCGTCAAAGATCTGCTAGCCTAGCTTAACCATTGTATTTAGGGACCACACCAAGTAAACACTGTGCTCATTATGCTCTGAGGACACTGCATCCCATGTCAGATTATTACCAAAAATCTAAAACCACTGTGTGCAAGTGAGGGGTACAAACAATGAACTCCAAGAACTGAATAGATTCACCCACAATACTTTCCCCACTCCAAAGTCAACTCCTTCACTACATATGCAGTTTAAAAGGGAAACATAAACACACAAAAATGTGCACATGATCATCAATGATCATCATTTCCTTTCGGAAAGCGAACATATTCAATTTTGATACTTTTTATAAGTGATTTAAGTAAGCAAAACATTTATCAAATGGCAAAAAAAAAACCCCAAACCTGCTCACTGAGCAGGTATCTCTACCAATACATGCACATTAACTAACCACCTTCTCCATTTTCCAGGATGTGGCAACAGACAGCTGTGGCCACTAAGTCTTCATTATTCTTATAAAATTCCTAGGTACATTAAAAGCACAATTGAAACCTATTAAAAATATTTGCTTAGGGAACACAAGGTTTTATCACCATCATTTGCTCACCTCAGCATTAAGTTACAAACAAAAGCCTCAATGACTTGCAGTTGGACATCTGGTCTTTAGTTCAGCTATTAACTTTTTTTAAAGAAAGACCTTGAGAGGGAATTAATAAGCTGTAATCATCTAAAGTAGTCTCATATGCAGTTCATTTCTCCTTCACTTCTTCATTGCAGTAAAAAACCGCAACCTTTCAAAAGCAGCAACATAAAAAAAGCACATAAAAGTTGATTCAGATTATATCACATCCTTTCATATTTACAGATTTTTCTGTAGTAAAGAAGCCACTATCATTGTTCTACCGCAATTAAAAGTCTTGGCCTTTTTAATCCTAAAACAGCCTTCAAACATCATCTAAGTCTGGAAACATTTTCAAAACCCACAGGAACTCAGTAACAGCAGCACTGTACTCCAGACAATATTGCAAACAGCTCCCACACAAAGTGTCTATTAAAGAAACAGTCTTGATAAACACAGTACTCTGATCCTCTTCTTCCTCACGATACCATCCCCACTGGTTCCTGTAGGCGCTACGTTAGTTTCTTCATTCTGTGGTTCTGCTTGTCAATATTCAGTGTCGCACGGTCTACAGAGGTAGTGATGGAATCAAGAGCTTCATCCTGTCTCTCCAGCTCAGCTTCTGTCTCCAAGGCAAGGCCCTTCAGCTTCTTTAGTATCTGTCAGAAGAAAAGACTGAGCACTTTCAGCAATCGACCAGCTGGTTCTTTGAGAAATGTAACAGACCCATGGCAACTACTTATTTCATGGTTGTAATTTTATTTCATTTATTGGAGTCTGCCCTGAGACATGCTGGTGAAAAGAAATTTCTTACTCTGATAAACTAAATTGAGATGAATGAAACAAGGAACTAAAGACCAGAAAATTCAAATCTGAACTGCTAGGGTTAGAGGGGAGGGAAGAGAATAAATTAGAAATAAAAATCATTTAAGCATGATTTGTTGTTTGTTGGCTCTGTTATTATCTCCTTGGTATGTCTGCATTTCAGAGCAGTAGCTTGTACTGAGATTATGTACATGTTGAGAGCTGATAGGGAAAGCAAGCACAGAAAGTGGCAGAAAGCCAGAAGGGGATCACACGGCTGAAGGCATAGTAATGTTAGGCATTGACAAGGTCAAAGGACAGAAACTGTTCTTTTACTACAGCCTGCTAAAGAAAGAAATGTCAGTGGTTGGAGCAGATGGGAAAAGTGAGAAACAGGCAACCAAACAAATAATTTTAAAGGGACTAGAGGGTCGTGTGATATGAACAGACATCAAGGCAGCCAAGAGGCTCAGGCTGTACCTGAGATGAGAAAAAAACAGATGCACTGGCTACAGCTCTACTCCAGGCTGTAAGCATTGTATTACATATCAACCAGTTTACACTACATTTAGCAAATTACTGTTCATATGTGAAACTGCAAGCTAACATCCACAGCTACTCCAAGATTGTGAGGGGACCATGTAGTCTGAAAACGCTTATAGGTATTGGTCCAAACAGGGCAGAAGCCTCTAAAATGGAAGAAGAAAGCCAGCTTATATATTCTCAAGGATGAGCCATCCATAACAATACCATACATTGACTTATAGGGCTTACTCAACTTTCATTTTCATCAGTTCACACAACCAAGTCCAAGCACAGCGATCCAAACTACACAAGAAAAATCTGTCTTAATTCCTCACTCTGTAACATTGGCTCCTTTTAGCAGCAGACCAAGGACTGAGTTATATCATTGCCTTTTCTTCCCTCTTGTGGCTACTCCCTTAATAAGCCTGGATGCATGAACTGAAAGCACCTGCCTGATGGGCAAGCCTCAGCTGCATTCTCTCAGATATATCAGAGGGAAATTTGGAAGCACTGTATCATACTGACTGGAAATCCAGCTTCCAAGTTACTTCAGATCATAAGGCCTCTGCTGGCCTACATGATCTACTTCCTTAGGCATTCACAGCTAGGTCCATGAGGATATCCTTGCACTGCCTGATTAATAAGAGTAGTTTATCCAATCAATTGCAGTAAGTCTCCAAGAAAGCAAATTATCCCAGCACTATCCCACAACATCAACTGCTGTGCCACATGAGTATCCGGGTGATGCTACGGAAGGTACCAGAACTGCAGCCTAACAGCATAAATCTGTGGCCTTTAGTAAAACAAGGGAAAAGAATTGTACTCTAAACACATTAAATTTTATTTTTTTTTTCTTAAGTGGCAAACTCAGTTATCTTGTTTTCCATTAGAATATATTAGAATATATAATCAGCCCCCAGAAAGCTGCTGTGAAGCTACCAGTTTGAGAAAAGCAGTGAAGAACATCGTATCTAGCTGGAAGGGCAGGGGCATTTTTTGAGCTTTGGCTGAAGCTGCATATCAGTCATGGTAGTGAGATTTATCTCATAACATACAGAATCATAGAATGGTTTGGGTTGGAAAGGACCTTAAAGATCATATAGTTCCAAACCCCCTGCCACAGGCACAGACACCTTCCACTAGACGAGGTTGCTCAATGCACCATCCAACCATCCATCCATGATCCTGGTCTTGAACACTTTCAGGCATGAAGCATTCACAACTTCCTTGGGCAACCTGTTTCAGTGTCTCACTACTCTCACAGTAAAGAACTGCTGCTTTGTATCTAACCTGAACACCCCCTTTTTAAGTTTAAACCCACTGCCCTTGTCCTACCACTACAGTCTCCAGCATTGTCGTAGGTCACTTTCAGATACCGTAAGGCTGCTATGACGTATTTCTCAGCACTTTCCTTAAATCACAAACAGCTAGAAACAGAGCTGTGTGAAAAAATGATTTTGCAATTTGGCTGCCACAGGAAAAAGAAAAACCCCAAACAAAAACAACAAACCAACAAATCAAACAGTGGATCAAGCTGTATCTAACTTTGTCTGTTCTTACCAAAACTACAAGCTAAACTGCCCTCTGTTTCTATCTCAAATGGAACATTTCAGGATCTCTCACTGTAACAGGAAAGCAAGGGTGAATTCCCCACACTGGAGGTGGTAGATGTTTTCATGATACGCACCAAAAAGAAAAGTGACATGATCAGATATATCATGTGTATAATTCAGAATTACACTTGAAAATGGGAATTTCAGAGGTGTCTTTCTCTCAGTCTTTCCTTTGAGCTTCTTCTGCTTGTATCATATATAGAACGTACACATAAATACATAAAATAAAGTAGGCAGTGCTACATGAAATGACTCCTACCATTCATAAAGTCACAGTGTATTTAGGAAAAGAACTCTGAAGGTCTTCTGGTCTACTCCATCCAACTAAAAGGGCTAGCTTCAGTGTTCACCTGAGAGATTACAGGGTTTCAGCCTCTGCTCCAATAAAGTTTAAATTCTTTATACCAGTTTAAGAGAGAAGAAACTTCACTCCTTCTATACATGCTAAAGGATGGCAGCAAAAGAAGCATGCCTCATCATTTGCAGATGATTTAAAAATGGTTCATACTAATATTTTCTCAGCAAGTTTACTAAAAAGGTTTACCCAACAGCATCCCAAAATTTGTTTTCTGGAACAGCAGAAGAAAAGCAGATTTCTAGATCATGGAACAACACATGCTCCAGAATGGTTCCTCTGGTCCTTCAACACCTCCACCTCCTGCTGCTGCCAGGCACAGGCTTTTGGAGGTTTACCACTAAGCACCTTTCACAGTGTGGTAATTTCAGGTTTCCTGAGCCACCTCCTCACCTACCACATCTAGGTAGAGGTAAGCACATCAGATAAATGTGGTGATATGCAGCAAGCCTCCAAGATTGCTATGCAGCATAGCAGGGGCTGGCACGAGGGTATGCAGAAAGGAAGCAGAAACACTCCTTCCCCACCTCTCCAAGAGGAACCCAATTTATTTGTAAATCAAAATTGTGCCAAAAAGGCCCAGGTTTGCCACAGAAAGTAGTTTATTTTTAGTTTCAAAACAGATTACTTTTGATAGGCTTTGCATTCATTAGAGCATACTTAACATTTAAAATACAGAAAAAGACACAATTGTTGGGAACAGAAAAGCTTTTAAAATATGAAAGCAGTAAAATGGAAAAGTAGTCAGCTACAGGGCTCTGCTCAGTTCACCTGCTAATTAGGCTCTGCCTTGAAACACAGCAGCTGATGATGATGCGGTTACTCACACCCAAAAATAAAACACAAGCAGCTCACTTTCATCTGTTAACTTTCTTTGCCTCAGAAAGTCTGGTAATAAATCCCTTAACCCTTTGTCTGCAGCATCTTCATGTGTTCCAACTGAGTACTGCTACTCAATCCAATGGGACCTGGAGCAGTTAAGACTTTCAGCAGAGCTCACAGAGCTTGCTGGAAAGAGTTACTGAAAGGTGAAGTCTGGCCAAAGCTGGTCAATATTTTTGCAAAGCAAAACGATGGCAAGAGGTCTAGTTATCACTAGATAACTAGACAGTTCTGTCAACTGCTCAAAGCAGCAGTGCTTGCTGTGCCAGTATGCAATTTGGACGGTGAACCAAGACATGAAAATTCATCGTGAAACTATCTGTTACACAAAACCAAACAGCAGGTATGAGCCTATCAAAGACATTGTAAAGGCACATTTCCTCAGGCTGTGATCAATCTCACACTGAGACAACTTTAGATTTATGCCACCGGATTATAATTTGGAAGGTCTGATTTATCCTTATGGCTCTGCCACAGATTTTACGTGCAGCTTCAGGCAATACCTAATATTCCCACACAGAGCTCTCGCTGTACAAAACAAGGGAGAAAATTCATCACTGCTCTCCAAATCTGCCATGTCAAGTGTTCAACTACAGCAGACTCGGGCCTTGGTGGGAGAAGAGGTGTCCATCCAAACTACGTATTCCAAGTTCTCGTATAGACTATGAGGACCCAATCAGTACACTGCATTTAGATCATAGTTCATCTGCTCTATTTTATATACCTGCTTGATGACTTGCTCAAGCGCTGCCCACTTCTCTCTACTTTGGCTTAAGTGAGAGCCAAGCAGGAGAGCCACAACACAGACACAAACAAAATGACGGGAGTGGACTCCAAGCCTGTGAACCTGTTCAATACTTAGCCCTGTGACTTTATCATTTTGCCACACCACCCAAGGATATAAATTCCAAGTGTTAGGCATACTGTATCCTAAAAATCTTACAATGGAGACCTCAATTTGGTTTAGGGCCTGAGATGACATCATAACAATGTAATTTAGCTGAAGCTTAAGAAATAAGTTAAAGGGAGTATCCAGCAGTAAAAATAAGATACAGAAAGTGTCACTGTGCAGGAAGTATTGACAACTGAAGTTTGAACTCCCTTAAATTCTCCCTAAGATCCACACTATTATCCCTAACAGGTCTGAAAATTAAAGCAGAACACATAAAACCAGAAACGGCTCTTGAATGCAGCCAAATTCACCTGTTAATAGGAAGCTGACATTCACAGTACTCTGAAATAGGGTGCAAATAGAGGTTTTGACAGTGATAACTCGTCAGGATTTAATATGGTGCTTCAACTCTGTGCTACACACACTGCAGGAGAGCAAGAAGGGGAAAAAACATGTAAAATATTCCAATTCATACTCCCATTATAAATTTAAACCCACATCAAGAACTGCACTGGAAGGCATGCTAAGGCACATGAAAAACAACAAGGTGGCTGGTGACAGCCAGCATGGCTTCACTAAGGGGAAAACCTGCCTGACCAATTTGGTGGCCTTCTATGATGGGGCTACAAAACTGATGGACAATGGTAGAGCAGTTGAGGTCATCTACCTGGACTTGTGCACAGCGTTCGACACTGTCCCACACAACATCCTTGTCTCTAAATAGAAGAGACATCAATTTGATAGGTGGGCCACTCGGTGGATAAAGAACTGGCTGGATGGCTGCACGCAAAGAGTTGTGGTCAATGGCTCAATGTCCGGCTGGAGACCAGTAACAAGTGGTGCCTCTCAGGGATCGGTGTTGGGACCTGTCTTGTTCAATGTCTTTGTCAGTGACATGGACAGTGAGACTGAGTGAACCCTCAGCAAGTTTGTCGATGACATCAGATGTGTGGTTTGGTTGATAATGCTGGAGGGAAGGAATGCCATCCGGAGGGACCTTGACACACTTGTGAGGTGGGCTGATGCCAACCTCATGAAGTTTAAACATGACAAGTGCAAGGTCCTACACCTGGGTCGGAGCTATCCCAGGCACAGCTACAGGTTGGGCAGAGAAGAGATTCAGAGCAGCCCTGAGGAGAAGGACTTGGGGGTTCTGGTCAATGAGAAAATGAACATGAGCTGGCTTCAGTGTGTGCTCGCAGCCCGGAGAGCCAACCGTATCCTGGGTTGCATCAAATGAAGCGTGACCAGCAAGCAGGTCAAAGGAGGTGATCCTGCCCCTCTACTCTGCTCTCATGAGACCTCACTTGGAGGATTGTGTGCAGTTCTGGTGTCCTCAGCATAAAAAGGACATGGAACTGTTGGAACAAGTCCAGAGGAGGGCCACGAGGATGATCAGGGGACTGGAGCACCTCCCATATGAAGACAGACTGAGAAAGTTGAGGCTGTTCAGCCTGGAGAATAGAAGGCTGCATGGAGACCTCATAGCAGCCTTCCAGTATCTGAAGGGGGCCTATAAGGATGCTGGGGAGGGACTCTTCATTAGGGACTGTAGTGACAGGACAAGAGGTAATGGGTTCAATCTTAAACGGGGGAAGTTTAGACTGGATATAAGGGAAAAGTTCTTTACTGTTAGGGTGGTGAGGCACTGGAAGGGGTTGCCCAGTGAAGCTCTGAATGATCCATCCCTGGTGGTGTTCAAGGCCAGGTTGGACAGAGCCTTGGGTGACATGTTTTAGTGGGAGGTGTCCCTGCCCATGGCAGGGGGGTTGGAACTAGATGATCTTAAGGTCCTTTCTAATCCTAACTATTCTATGATTCTATGATCTTGCACCAGAAATATTAAGGGTCCTGTCCACATCTTCTCTTGTTGCACCTGGAAATGGGCAGGGAGACAGCAGAGCACAGAAATATCTTAAACTACCACAGCACAATTTACTACAGGACATTTGTTAATGCCTCAAGAGGCAAGTGCAACTTGCCATAACAAAAATCTATGGATTTGAATTGCTTTAACATGTTTTCTGTATGGGATTGCCACTATCAGTACTTGCCTGTAGCTGTGCAAAGCACAGAGGTTCCTTCTGCTAGATGCAGAGTTGCATTTAGTGTACAAATACCCAACTACACCAGCCACTAGCAAAAGGGATTCTGCCTGCTCTAGAAAATCAGGCTGTCTCTTGTGGAACAGAACATCTGAGCACAGGTAACACTTGAACAGATGTGTTTGACAGGACAGCAGGTCCCCTGTATCTGAAGCACACAAACCAGACAGATTTTAAAGCATCAGCTCTTCTGAGGCAGTGGCTATTCAGACAGTACGGAAGGATCATTGTTTACTATCTTATTCTTAGTGGCTGATTTCTCCCATTATTTTTTCTTGGACTGATCCAGAACTCTGATTTTATTTACTTTCTCAGGAAGCACTCGTGGTGCCACTAACATTCTGCTGGCCTTGTCTGGAAAAAAATACTCAAGCAGCTCCAGAGGCTTAACCATCACCTTTTAATTTCATGTCATTAAATACTTAAGTTCGCAAAAGCAAATACAGAGCATTAGTTGTCAGTATCTCAGTTCTCCCTGCATTGTGCTTTCCAAAAAATAAACTTGAAGCATAGTCATTACACGGGTCTTAAGATCAGTTGTCTGTTGACCGCTATAGGCCATGGAAGCAGGCCATCCTGTGAGCAAATTTGGTATTTAGTACTTGGAATGAACAGGTCCTCAACAAAATGCTTTTCCTAACGGTTGTAATTTCCTGAGATGAAGGTATGATAAAAGGGTGAATAAGCACTGAAGAGACTTTGAAAGTACCGAAGGACTGAAATGGAACCACCTTGACCTGAGAAGACAATGAGAAAGCAAAGGCCAAAGATAATGCACTGGGATATGGGCTTTTTCCCAGATGTTAAAGAAGTAACTTCTTTAATACTGGTTCTGTCTCCATGGCCTATGCATTCTCCAGACAGTAAGTATCAGGACAGTTCTTTGGCAGAAACAATTTGAGAAATTAGAAAGCACCTGTTTGGCAAAATAATTTAAAATTTAGTGAACTGCCCCCCTTTGACCATAGCCCTTAAGCTAATATTATCACATCCCCTCCCACACCCAGTGCCATTATGTCAGCCATACTGAGGTGGGAGGCAGAAGTTCAGCCAGAGACCACAGTAACTTCAGAGACTTCTTTCTCCATCTGTATAGCACAGCTAAAGAACACAGCTCATACTGCCACAAACGTTGACACAAATGTCCCTTCCTGAAGTCCTGGTGAGGTCCTTTACTCAGCCACCCAGTCACACCTGCAGATGCTCAGGACTTCCAGCTCTAATGGAAGGAATTAGTATCATTCAACCATTTCTGCTGCAAAACGTTTACTGTTATTACTGCAAGTACTTTGTTTTTGAGGAGAGTGATGACTATATCTGTTTATCACAAATTCCTCTTCTCCAGCCTTCAGAAGTTATCCTGGAGTTACCCACATCACAAGTAATGAGGAGGGGGAGCAATTAGTGAAAAGCTTTTTTTGCAAGCTGTATCAAAATGCGTCTTCATTAGTAGTCCATGACCAACAACCCCTTGTAGTGTATTTAGGTTTTTAGGGTCTGGCTACAAATCAGAATTATAGTGCTGAAAAGCTGGCATTTAAGGAAGGAACAACTGGCCCTCCTGAATACATAACAGGCATACAAAGCACATGCCTGCATGAAGAACAGATTGCTGCTATTTGTACAACTATGACTGAGAAATATTCTTCCTTAAAATCTTCCAAAAGGTCAACACTGCTTCAGAAAATGGTTATTTTTTGATAAAATAACAGATCATGGAGATAAGCTCTTTAAAAGATCAGAAGGGAGAATCACTAAATGGTGATTAGTCAGGTTTGGTTTTGAAAAAACCCCAAGATACTTCAGTCAAAAGATACTTACTATATTTTGGTTACAGAAGCAAGTTATGGTCTAAGACTGTGTATTTATGTGGTGACTCCTAGCAAGGAAAAGGAACAGGAGTTCTATAGGAATTAAAACATGTACCTTAAAATTATTAATGACCGAAATGATGATTAAAGAGGCCTGGCTCCAGGGAACAATTAAGGCCAATTCATGGCCTGTAAGTTTGGAATTCAGATCCTCTCCTCATCCACACTCCCCCACAAACTCACCCCAAATAATCAACTGGCTTAAAAATTCTTGGTTTCATGGGGTATAAATAAATACAAAAATTGTCTTTTGAGCTCTAGTTCACCTTGAAAGTGTTTTGTTTTCAATCACACTGGCCATATAGCACTTTTTCTAGTCTACCATCCAGCATAGAGAGTACCAGAAATTTCTGAAATTAACCTTCTGCAAAGCTTAGACTCTCACTTACTCAACTGTTTTTTAGTTAATAAATAGATTTTTCATGCAAGAAGCTTTTATTTTTAGCCACTCGAGACCCTACTAAGTGATTGTGACTCTCAAATGCACTCAAGCTAACAGAAGTTGCTGTATTCCAATTCCCAACTATAAAATAAAAGAAGGGGGCTGGAAGCCTTCAGGCTTGGCTAAGAAACAATGGAATTAGGACAGACTTCACATGATGCCATCACCAAGATACACCTGGAATATCAAAAAGAATAAAATGCTAGAGGGGGGAAAATAAGCAATAATAAAGTTTAATCTTCAGTCGCATTTGATGAGGCTGTGATCATCACCAGTAAACCAATTTTAATGGAAAAAACACTCAAACCGTTCTCATTTGCTTTTCCAGCTTGTTAACTGTTTCAGATCAACCACCTACGACAAAGATGGATTCTTCACTAAGAAGTTCATCAACTATGAGAGAAATTCCTTAAAGAGCCATTCAGAGGAACAATATCAGGCTAGATTACTTTGCATATTTTTTTCCTTTCTAGGAAAATCTTCTCTTTCTTAATATGCTGGACAGCATACTTATTTCCCAGCTACAAGTTCTGTGTTCAGTTTTGTGAATGCTTCTGAAACAGAACTGCTATTCCTTACTAAAAAGAGTAAGATGGCATAGAGAAAACACAAAAGAGCCAAAAATTATTTAATTGTTAAGGCGCTTAATCTTCAGAAAAACAGGTTACAGTGAAGGATTTTGCTTAGGTTACAATCCTATAATATATTTCGATGCTAATCCTTGATTTGTTCAAAACAAGTAAAAAAACCCAAACCAAAACAAACTTATGAAGTTAGCAGTGTATTTTAATCACAGGCTTGATTAACTGATTTCTAAAATATGCCCATTTAATTTCAGGAATTTTCTGAGGAATATTCTGTTAAGGACAATGACTAGGTTTCTGATGATGAAAATGTATCTTACGAAAAAAACAGAAGCCATGAAACAACTCTTATCAAAGTTATGTCAATTTATACCTGTTTAAGCTCTTTTGCTTCTTCCTGGGAGATCTTCTCTTGCTTTTGCAGCTGGACGTGGTCACTGTCCATCCCTTCTCTGCCTCCTACTGGAGAGCTGGGCTGCACCACTCCTCCCAGGAGTCCCGTGGCTGCAAAAGAAATTCCCATGGTCAGACTGCCACTTCCTGTGCGAATGGGGAGAACCAGTGCTAGTATCAAATTGGCTGATTCCTGCTTTTTTCTCTCTCTCCCCCCAGCCCTCCTTCCCCTTCCTCTGTCTGGAGAAGGCTCCAGGGAGACCTTAGAGTACCTTCCAGTGCATAAAGGGGCTGACAAGGGCAGGTAGGGACAGGACAAGGGGAATGGCTTTAAACTGTCAGAGGGGAGATATAAATGAGATCTTAGAAAGGAGTTCCTGTGAGGGTGGTGAGGCCCTGGCACAAGTTGTTGCAAGAAGCTGTGGCTGCCCCATCCCTGGTAGTGTTCAAGGCCAGGCTGGATGGCACTTGGAGCAACCTGGTCTAGTGGAAGGTGTTCCTGCCCATGGCGGGGGGGGTGTGGAAATGGATGATCTTTAATATCCCTTCCAACCCAAACCATTCTGGGATTCTATGCTTTTCTCCATAGCAGTTTGCAAGGGGACTTTTCTTCTAGGAAAGATTTGAGCTGTATTCTGTACAATACCTGATCTGGAGGTGACCAGGCTGCCAACAGATGACTTGTTATTAAAGGCAGCATCTGGAGAATGGGTTCATTTTGAGCTCTGGGGATTCATCTGAACTGAGCGCAAAGCAGCAGCAACACACTCCCAATCAGATAAACAAGGATTCTCCACCTGCTGTTTCTTCTCTCTTTAATCTTTTTAATTAAAGAATTTGGAAGTGATGGATTTGGGACAGAATCAAGTCAGCAAACCCCTGAAACAGAAGGGCAACACTGACACTAACAGCCACCCCCAGCTAAGTAGTGTGGACGCAATCCCTCATGTAACATGCCACTTGTCCTTTATTTAAAGCGTTGGCTCTTATTGCAGTATGTGATACAAACCAGTAGGGTAGCAGGGATATGCAGCAAGGCAAGGTTGTCATTTCTGATGCAGATGGGTGCTAAACACCCGAGACCCACATCTTGGCTCCTAGAGGCGCTTCAAGGCTCATTGAAGCTCTCCCTTAAAGAGGCACCATAAAGGAAGCTAATTCTACTGCTGCCACCTGTGAGCACATGGCCTGACCCATCACAGGATGACGACAAAAACTCATATGCACATCAGGACAGAAAGTGTGCCAGATGCCAGAGCTCATCGCCAGGTCAAGGAGCTGGTGCCCAGATGACAAGGTATAGACAACTGCTCTGGACAGCATTACCTCCCCATGAAAAGGAAGACAAAAGCTAAACCAAAAGTACCAAATCCTAAATCCCTCTCAAGGAATTACTGCAAACTCATAATCCCTGGAATTATTTAGTTATCAGTCCAAGAGTCACTGGACTCAGACACCATCAAGATTTAAGACAAGCAAGTAATTCATTGTACTAGTGTTACTCTGTGCAAATGCTCCTTGTAATTAGATGGGCTAAGAGCAAGCCACAGAAAAATGCTGTTTGTGGTAAATCACTGCCATGATCTCCCTCAGGGGACAAAGTAGGGAGGGAATGACAGCCCTTCCTATGGAAGCAAATAGGCAGAGGAGATTCTTTGTGTTTCTTATCAGCTGACTGTCACCATATACTAATTATTTCATTAAAATCAAGAAATCTATCCATTTCACTCCATTAATCTCACTGAGGAAAAGAACAGAAGGAGGATGTGACAAAGCTGAACAAAAACAATGGATGAAGAAGATCTGTCGTTTCCCAGAATTGAATAGAAAGGCAGAAATGTTTAAAAAGCAATTTTGTTCTGTGTCACACCCAGTTGGACTGTGGGACTTTCTGCCACCATTATGAAGATGAGAAGGTACAAAACCACTGAACAAAGTGCTGGAAACTCAATAATGAGAACATTCGGTCACAGGGGTAGACAGGAAGTATTCAGCCGCCTCAAAAAAGATAAACAGCGACTACCAGTCTTCAGATATAGGACTGAAGCAGCACTGCCCTAGATTGCTATATTGCACAAGCACTGCATGATTTCTTGCACTTTTTAATGCTTGGTAGCTGTTATCAGCCACTATTGAGGATGTTATTGGCTAGGAGAGTACTGTCTTGACACAGCACAGAACCACCTCTGTTACAAACAAACTCCACTGCTCTGTTCTAAGCATTTAAATACCCGTGTGGCTTGGTCCAAGAATATACAGTCAGAAAAAACATGCAAAGCAGCTAAAAATAGTTTCAGATAATCTGGTGTGTACAAAAGTCTTCACAAATTCCGCTTCTAGGTGGCATCAAGCCAAAACTCTTAGGAAAGATGAGGTTTTTTTTAATTTACTTATACAAACATGTAATATGCACAACTTTAAGGCAGGACTAGTATAAGCAGACAGGATCCAGATGAGATTATGACAGTGGTGGAAATGTTCACATCTCACCACTGAGAGCACAGAATGCTACGAGCCAGTTCACAGAGACAGATGTACCTCCCCTGCAAGGATATTTCTTCTCTAAGTCTCTGAATCAACATTCACTATCTGAAAATTGACACATATTTTATGTGTGCAGAGACAGTGATGCATAACACACACTTTTTTTGCCTGCTTTTAGAGGAAAGGAAAAAAAAAAAAGAAAAAAACAATTAAAAAAAAAAAATCAGTATTTCCACCATGTGAACAACCACCGAAAAGCCACCGTTAAAACACAGTCCGTGACTGCCATCTTGCGACAGAAGACAGACAGTTCTAGACCCCGGGGAAGGTACAAACAAGGGTTTTGGTGGAGCTGGAGAAGTCAAGATTTCCATAACCTCCAGTTTTCTTTACTGACATTTCCAAATTAAACAGTCGAAATGCAGGTGGGGGTAGGAGAGCAATATCCTTGACTCACTGACTCAGATGCAAACAGAGCAGAGCAGTGGGAAATTAAGCACACTAGGGCTGTATAACCAATTATTTTATGTAACCAGCCTTAAGACCATCAGGAACTGAACACCAATTTGCTGGAATAACTCAGTGCTTAAGAAACCAGCAGGTTGTTTTTCCTCTAAGTTGTTGTGCTGACATTTTAGTGCCAGATGCCCAAGACTTACTTCCTTAAAAATTAACAAGCTTTTCCAAGCTATGGCCCTCGATGACTCTTTAACAAGAGGACATTACCCTCCCTGCTGAACTCCAGTTTTAGCTCAGTACACGGAAATAGGTTCAACTATTGCTTTACTGTATAATTTTTCTAGTTGTTTTTAATGTACTGGCAATAAATCCATCCACCAATTTGCTCTTACGCCACTAATGATTAAGAAAAAAACAGAGGATTCAGACATTTTGATAGAATAAAAATTCCTAACAGACAAGAATTCAACAGCTCTCTGAAGGAATCCAGGGTTGGATTACAAAAAATACACAACACAAAAAACAACCCTCCCCAGAATTTTAACAGACATAACAGTAGTAAGTAATGTCATTCTTATTACTGTGAAAGGGTTGCAATCTCCACTTTGCTTTCTTTCACCTACGTATTAACCTAATCTGAGACCTAAAATCTAAATCCAAAAACCTGAACTTCTCAAATAATAAAATTCTAGCTTTTAAGATATGAAAATTAATGTGATGCTTATTGCAAATGTTATTTAAAAAACCTGCTGGACTGGAAATATATTTTAAATTTTCTACGATTTAATATATTTTCAGCTCCAGACTTACAAAACAAAAACAACAACAGAGGACTGCGAAGCATGCAATCAGGAAAACTTATTTCTAATGAATTCCCCCCGGAGTGGCACAAAAGTGAATTGGTGACCACTGGAAAAAGAACGACACTGTAGTTAAAAACACAGGCCAGTAGTTGAAACTCAGTTAATCCTTTCACAAAGAGGTGTGGAGTTAGTGTCAACACCAGCTGAGAGCACAGTGTTAAAAGAGGGTTTGGTGCAATTCAGCTTCTAGGCTCCTGAGGGACACTCAAGTTCAGCATCTGCAGTGACAGGTTCTGCTAATGTAGCTGTGAGAAAGAAAATCCAACTAAAGTGGGGCCACACAATTCTGTCATTTCTGCCCTCTCCCTCTTGTCAATAGGGTCTAAGGTCACCTATCAGTTATTTCTTGCATCATCAACATTGTCTCACACTGGGGCAAAGGGAAGAAAATTTGCCTTGTAACTATTACACACTTTTGAGTTTGAAAACCACCTAGAAATTTCTGGTGCTGTTACTCTTGTAGATGGATTGCTTTGTCACATACCTGCTTGCCAAATGGAGGTCCCCAAATCTACCTGAGGAGACTTCCTGGCACCAGCAAAACCTAGGGCATCTTCTAGAAACTGTATTTTCTTGCTAAATTGCATCTCCAAGATAGGGATTACTTCTGGCATCTTTGCTGACAAGAGCCGGTAAGAGGTGTCTGGCTTCCCGATAAATCTCTGACGGACACTGATTTCATATGGTGTATGAACTCTGATATCATCTACATCCTTTGATTCAAAATGGTGAATGACCTGAGAATTGCAGTCACTGATTTCCAGACCAGAAGCAAAGAGTGTGAGTTTTCCTGGCTTGACATTTGAGTCTGTTCTGTGGGTGATAATAACTGGAATTCTAATTACGATTCCTTCCTGGTTCTTCGAATCGGAAACTGTGGCAGTTTCCTTTGGCTTGGCTTCCAATGGTGCTTTCCAGAGCTTGCTGCTAAACGGCCACCAAGAAGGAGATTCGAGCTCAGTCAACAACCTAGCAGAGAAAAGAGAGTGTTAGCAGAGTCAAAGCCAGTAGGGAGGTTGTACTACCCCTCCAGTTCAAATTACAGCAGACAAAGATTTCTTAATACTGAATCCAGCCCTCTTATTTTGTTCCTCAAACATATTCACAGCTTACCAGGATCCATCTGTTTTAAAAAGCAGCTTTCCTTCACTTTTAAGTGGACTTATCCAAGCCAGTTCTTCAGCTGATACTGCCATTTACCTCAATATTTCCACACTTGGCCATCTGCACCACTGCCACCTTCTGCTCCTTTATTCCACAGCCTCACAGTTTGATGCCACCTTTTGCTTTGCCTCCACTCCCAAATTCCCATTAAAACACTAAGAGTGCAATGTCAAGGCTGAAAAGCCCAGCAGAGACTGCCACAGGCATCCAGAGTCTGCCTCACCATCAGTGTTGGTGTAGCTCCTGAAGGACACAGGCCTTCTTGCTGGCAAACTGGTGCCTTAGCATAAAGGTAACCAGACTGACTTTATGGAACAATTAAGCAACTGCTCCCCAGAAAGACTACTGTGTAGCCAGAAATAACAACAGTCAAGCCCCTTATTCCTAAGCAAGAACATGCACCTCAGCAGGCACCCAAGTTTACCAGCTACAAGCAAGAAAGATGTAACACTGTTAGGAAGAATCAATGACATAGAAAACACAATCCTCCTGTTATATTTTTTTATCAGCATAGCTCATTCCCCTTTTCTGGATCCTCTCTCAAGAAAGGATCATGATTGCAGATCTTTGGTTCTAAGCCTGACCACTACTCTTTTCTTTTCTTATTTAAAAAAAAAAAAAAAAAAAAAAAGAGTAAGAAGAAATGGAAAGGGAATAAGAGGAAAAGGGATGGTTTTGGCTTGATTTTTCACGTGATGTGCTCCTGTCTGTTATTATCCCTCTCCACGTCTAGACAGGAGTTGGTGGCAGGGCAAGTCAGCACCAATGATGCTCCATTTCTCCCACTTTCCTCTCACCCCCTGGCCTGTATCATCCAAGCCCATCCTGCTAGCAGAGGACTGTGTATTTCAAGGTGACTCCACTTTAGTGGCTGGAAAGAAGTTTTGGGACCAACAACATCTCCACACACAGCTAACAAAAACTTCATATCCTCCTTTCCCTCCCGCAGAGTAAACAGTCACCTCCTCTGTCATCCACCAGCAGTCTCTGACACGTCACATCTGAGCCAAAGTGACTCATCTCCAGTCCCAGGCATAGGAAGAGGCAAATCAAACCTCTGGGAGTCACTGACTGCCCAAACCCTACCCTGCTCCCACTGAAAACCAGCAGTGAACTGGCGGGAAGCATCCTACAAACCAAACTAGCCTGCAGACAATTAGCCTGATCAGGATGTTTTAAACTGAGATTTTTCAGCTCACTCCTCAGCCACTGAGCAGGACAGAAAAGCAGTCTCTGGAGGCACAAATGAATTCTCAATTAACTAATGGGAAGGAAGAGGTTATGTTTAAATCAACAAAAAAAAAAAAAAATAGCTATAAGGAAGTTCAATCCAGGTCAGAATTGTGTGTTTCCTCATCTCTATCAATACCTTAAAGACTATCCAGTGATCAGGTATGTGTCACTGGCACAGCAGTTGTAGTAGGTGCTTCTAAGAAGACAGCCTACACGTAATAAAATCTTTCATGAAAAAATGCCATCTTACTACAAAAGACTGTTTACTAACTTAAATCCTAGAGATGCAAGGCTTATGAGACCAAAACACAAACTACTACTGCTTTACTGCTATTTTGGAAAGTCAGCTTGATTTAATTTACTTTTAAGTTTATTCTAGAAAGGTACTCCCTGATCAAATATGTATCACAACAGTGCTGCTCTAAAGATCTTTTGTAGTTATTTATTTTCCATGAGAACCAGAGTGTGCCTACACACAGAAGGCTTTGCAATTTTAAAATCCTGTTTAATTTGGCTGCAAAATCTAATCTGAAAGAAGAAGGTCTGACTGAACATGCTTTGTTTACTAGCCATCAAAGCTCTGCACTGGCTTCAAAACACATCAACTTAAATAAACTCATCTTTCAGGAAGAGCAGAAAATGTCACACTGGGAGTCAACCAACTGAATTCTTGAATGGAAGAGGCAGAATGAACTGTTCCAAGAATCTACTCCCAGCTAAAGCACGAACATCAGATACTTCTGTAGATAGAATGCAATATGAGTATCAGTTCTGGAGCTCACCACTGCCCTCTGGAAATGCTGTGACACTCCTTAAAAAAAGGGAGAGGAGTAGGAAGGCAGACCAAAGGATATGTACAAAGTTGTACATAACAGAATTTGAAATGGCATAGTATCATAGATTTAGGGATGAATTCTGAAACTATGAGGTTCAACTTACATTCTACCCAGAGAATGACTGAAAAAGCCCCAGGCTCTACTAGCACTCATCTTCCAAATTCAAAGCTATGCTCTAACCTACCCGCTGTAACTAAGCAGAGACAACCAACCTCATTTCTACAGAGCACAAAACACTTTTTCTGTCCTCTTAAGTGTAGAAAGAGTTACAAAAAGTTACTTCAGGGCAATAACAGCTTATGCCTATGTCACTTCATCACATTCACTGTGTTCAGGGACTTTCTGAAAAGCAGCTGCAACCTGACAAGCCTAAACCTCTGTTTACATTGTGGCAACTTATTCCGGATAGCTTTGAACCTTAATTTTTATCACTTCATCCCTTCACTCTCCTGCCTTTTCTCTCCTTTCCCCAGGGACTGACATCCCAGCTGTGCAATACCTGATTTACAGTCAAGCCTTTTCTCCTGCACAGCCTTAACAAAGGTTCCAGTCAACTTCTCCAGTCTACGGAGGAGTCACCCCTCTGTATCAACAAACTATATGACCAGCCCATATACATAAATGAAAATTTGCAACCAAAGTACCTTGTCATGTAATAGCAATACATTAAAAAGGAAACAGCAAATATGGGTTTCTGTTTATTTTTGGTCTTTGAACATCTGCTAGAACATCACACTCTGCTCTGCTTATCTGAACATAGGTCCACTGACAGCAGCTGTATATAGCCATGCATATACAAGAACAAATTTAATAATCTAAAAAAGCCCACACATACAGGCAAGATAAAGTTAATCAAAGTTTTAAACATACGAAAGGAAATAAAGGGGCCTGGTTTTTTTTATGATAGACAATACCATCAAACTGGCACCGTTCAACTAGCAGACACAGAAGTTTGTTACCAAAGTTTCCTTCTGCACAGAATCCGCTACACATGGAAAATAGTCCTGCATGGTATCATCCATGCAGTTACTTCTCATCAAGCTTCTAAGGAAAACAATAGTCAAAGAGTCTTACAGACATGAGGCCATTTATGTTAATATTCTGAATTCATGGTCTTCCCCATTTCCTACACGGGTTAAGGACATGAAGAGAGATGTCATCAGTTTAAGAGAAGACTTTTGGCTGAGAAGTATCTTCATGAGAAAAACTATACACAAACTACACTAGAAAACTAAGAGTTAGAAAAGCACAAGGTGATTAAAACCGTTTCGCTAATGGATTCTGGGATACATTTTATCCTGCAAGCTGGCCAAACTCTTTGTACTACAGATAAAAGAGCTAACATTTGGTCAATGCCTTCCTTTATTTTTCTATTTTTAAATCAGAGCATCTAGTTCTTCAGATTCATGAGGACAAATAATACCTCCCAGTGCATCTTAACCCAAAACAAAACTGCCTTCCAAAAACAATGAGCAGGTATTTATTTTCCTACTCATTATTTATTGCTACAGAACTTTAAAAGCTATTGCTGAAGCTTTCTATTATCTTGGCTTTTCATTAAAGGGTATGCAGAATATCAGCAGAACCATTGTGAAATCAACACTTTCTTTTAGACATGATATCTGTCTAAAAATAGATGCTTCTTCCAAAACCAACTGGTTTAACTATACTGTGTTTGTTTTTCCATACAACTATCAGAGCTTCTACAAAAACACTCATAGCTATATATTACAACACTACTGTCTACCTTACTGTCTCTTTTGGACTGCTATCAAATCAAACCTGCAGCATACAAAATAACACAGAATAATGATTAGCATTCAAAGTGAATTAAAGCCATAATATTCTGATCAAGACACCAATCATTTACTATTCACACTGAGTTCTGCAAAGTTAAGCAACCTCAAATGTGTTCCAAATTCCTTACTTCAGTTGTCTAATGGCAGCACTTGAGTGTCTAATGAGTGCATTGGCTTAAGTGCTCAACTGATATTACTACAAATAGTCTGGTACTGTCTCTCCAGTTCTTGCGTCACCCCACTCTGCAGATAAAGCACTTCAGAGCAGCTCACACAGCTCATTTTTTCCTCAAAACTTTTATTCCACCTAGACCTAAAGGCAGAGAGTATTCCATGTAAGGTTCAAAGTAGTAAAGTTCTATATCACAAATGAGAGAGCACTGTTTCTACAGCTATTTCCTTGACTACATCTGCACCAGACACCAATACTCGCTGCTATGTGTAGCTGGGAAGTAAGTTTTTGCAAAGGAAAGGACAAATATAAAGCCCTCAACTACTCAATGCATGCAAAAGCAGCTTCAAGGGCTGATTTTCATGCATGGAGAAAGGAGTACAATCTACCTAAAGATTAACTGGCAGCTGTCTCCCAATAACTCTAGGAAACTGCCTCCAAGTCAGCAGCCTACCTGCTATCTTCAGAATTTCCTTTAAGAACTAGAAAAGCAGAACTGTGGTTATGCTTGCTGTGGAACAGCAAAACAGGCTGCTTCACAAAATTAACCAAAGCCAGTATTTTTCATTTATACATATTCAAAGACATCTAATAAAAATGTCAGTGCCATACCTTATCCTTCTGTGGGGACATGAATTGTCACCTACTTCCCCTAATGTTGCCTATTCTCTCAGAACTTACACATTGTTCTTATTTTGGAGATACCTACAATTTCTGCCAGTCATGGGTGAAACTTGAAGGGCTTGAAAAGTTATTTAAAAGAAAGGACAGGTATATATGCACAAAGAACTTCCCCAAGGTGAAAAAAAATGTTACACAGAAGGGAGGACAGAAATACAGACACATCTTGTAATAAGAACTAGATCCACAACAGACCACTGTGAGCTTAAACTTTCAGGGAAAATCAACAGTTTATCCCAATATAAGGACATGGACCTATCTGAGTCAGCCCAGAGGCCATGAAGAAAATCAGAGGGCTGAGGCACCTCTCCTATGGAGACAGGCTAAGAGAGATAGGCTTGTTCAGCCTGGAGAAGAGGAGGCTCCAGGGAGACCTCAGAGCAGCTTTAATTGCCTAAAGGGGCTGACAGGAAAGCTGGAGAGGGGCTTTTGACAAGGGCAGGTAGGGACAAGACAAGGGGAAATGGTTGGTTTTACACACTGAAAGAGGGAAGATTTAGATGAGATCTGAGGAAGAAGTTCTTCCCTGTGAGGGTGGTGGGGCACTGGCACAGGCTGCCCAGAGAAGCTGTGGCTGCCCCATCCCTGGGAGTGTTCAAGGCCAGGTTGGACGGGGCTTTGACCAATCTGGTCTGGTGGAAGGTGTCCCTGCCCATGGCAGGGGGCTGGAGCTAAATAGCTTTAAGTTCCCTTCCAACCCAAACCATCCTGTGATTCTGAAGACCTCCACGGATCTGCCCCATGAAATTCAGGCATAAGAAATACAATCCCACAAGCACTCCTTAGCTCAGAGGATGCTCCATTACCATACCTGTCTGCTACATCCATATCCCCTTCGATCTTGTTGAGTCCTCTCATGATGTTATCAAACTGTTCGCCCTGATAATGCAGCACTTTTGCTGTGTCCTCCAGCCGTTTCTGTGAACCAGTCAATAACCCCGTCAGTTCTTTTCCCTTTGTTGTTTGCAAAGCTGCTGCTTCTGCTCCTTGGCTTGACAGCAATTGCTCCCTCCAGAAGTGCTCAAGGATGTTGAATACCACATTTCTGTTGGGCTGCAGAGAACTAAACCAGTGCTTGGTGCTCTTCTCTAAGATGGTAAGTGAGCTGAAGATTAAATTTGATGATTCCTTCTTGATCTCACTGATACTAGAAAGATGGAAGTTGACCAGAAGCTCCCCAGTCTTGCCAGCTGTGAATCTGATTGCAACAGGAGTCAGTGAGAGTCTGCCAGGGACCCATTGTTTGCTGGTGTCTAAATAGTAAGAACAAGGCCAGCTATGGATACGTATGTCTTCGTTCATCAGCTCGCCGTTCAGATCCCCTTCAAGAGCAACACTCTCAAAGTCAGAAGGAGAAACTAGCATAAAAGAGAGAGGAAATAAAGCAAGAATCCTTAGCTAATTATAAAAGCTGACATTAAAACACATTCATAAATAATTAATCCCACTCAAAGCTGGCTTCCGGCACTGGCTTGGTAACCTTTCAGGTACATACCTGATAGATTTGGAAATAGCTGTGGATGGGTTACAAAATTTGGTAACCATTTCTAACCATCAGGGTATTTAATTCAGAAAGGCTCAGGACTTTCTAAACAGGACTGTCAATATTACTGCCCATTCCATAACAGCACTGCCCCTCTGTTTTGTAACGTTCTCATCATGTATCAGCACATGACTTACAACAGTACAAACTTCAAATGACTGCTGCATTAATGTCCTGGATATTTAATAAGCGCTGTGCTGTCTTGATCAGGGGAGATGCTTTATAATTTGATTAGTCTTACGTGTTCACAGGCATATGTCCATATTTTTGGGTGGACAGGAACCTACCAAAACCAGAATTATGAGAAAGTTTTCTGAGTTTTTCACATATGCAGTTTTCCTGAAAATTGACCATGCAAAAATTTTTCCATTCCCTACCGCAACATCAGAAGCAGCTTCCCATAGACAAATAGGTACTGAAGAAAATCCAGAACACACCAAAATGTAAGTTCATTGATACATATCTACAGCAGTCACAAGAAATAACTGTCCCTTCCCCTTCCATGCTGATATTTCAACATCAAGGTATGTTAAGAAGACACCCAGAACGTCTATCCAACACATCAAACAGTGCGGATGAAAACAGAAACACCACTGACCAGAACTCACAACCATTAAAGAACAGAAACACCCAGCCACAAATGGATATTCTTCAAACATTGTCACTACCTCAGACCATCACCCTTGCTCTCAGGAGAAACCTAACAAAATATCTACCTTACAAAACTCAAACAGATATTAGAACTTCTGGTAGAATAACACAGGCAAAATAAACACCTCGAATCTATCGTACTTGTTCTGTAAAATATTCATTGTTGCTTAGTTACTATTAAAGATGTTTGGAAACTGGAGCTCGGGAAGAATTGTAAACAGCTTATCAGCATTGCTGGGAAAACCCTGACTGACCCAAGTGGAAATTAAGACAAGAGAAACAGCTGTATTTATCAGGAGGTGCTGCTGGCCTGCTATGAAGAGCAACTCCATACGGGTGATAGTGGAGCAAGTAGAACTGACTGTTCACTTCATGTGAAGGAACACGGTGCTCAGGGAACTCGTGATTTCATTGCACCTCTGTGACAGGCTGCGTTCTCCTGGGAGACCATGATGCTATTTGATGACATAATATTAATCCTGTAATACTTGCTCATTGGTATCTGCAATCCCAACAAGAAAACAAACAGCTGTCATGCGCCTCAGGCCTGGTTTACTCACATCAAAACAATCTCAAATTTGGAATAGTAAATCCAATGAAACATGTCAGGAGTAGCATCTCTTCACAAGCCCAAAGAGTGTCCTTGTACTCATGGGTCAGAACTTATCCTTCATGCTGCTACCATTTTCAGTATGAACACCAAACCCCAATTATGCTCCACAACTACTTTGTGAACATCCATTACGTAATGGTAATTACATATATTGTCATTATCTTCTCAAAACCTTTCATGTTTGATGGCACATTTTACAAATTCGTACCATCACCGTTATCTCAAGATGTTCTCCTACTTGTATGGTAAAATATACAAGTTAGACCTCCACTATAAAGTACCCAATTCAGTTGTCACTGACAAAAATTAACACCTTTTGACTTCAGTATGATCTGCTGTCCTTACAGAAATGTCTAGGAATCCTCATACAAATAAAAAGTTAATAGACCTTTTTCAGGTAGTGCTGGTGTGAATTCCAGTAATACACACTAAAGATGTCCTAGTGCTTTCAGGCTGCTGCATCAGTAATATCCCTTAAATTATAGGATCATAGAATGGGTTGGAAGGGAACTTACAGATCATCTAGAGCCTCACCCTATCCATTACCTGCCCCCCCAGGCAGGGACACGTTCCACCAGACCAGATTGGTCAAAGCCCCATCCAACCTGGCCTTGAACACTGCCAGGGATGGGGCTGCCACAGCAACTTGGGATAACCTGTGCCAGGGCCTCAGCACCCTCACAGGGAAGAATTTTTTCCTAATATCTCATCTAAATCTCCCCTCTGTCAGTTTAAAACCATTTCCCCTTGTCCTGTCCCTACCTGCCCTTGCCAAAAGCCCCTCTCCAGCTTTCCTGTCAACCCCTTTAGGCATTGGAAGCTGCTCTAAGGTCTCCCTGGAGCGTTCTCTTCTCCAGGCTGAACAAGCCCACCTCCCTCAACCTGTTTCCATAGGAAAGGCCACTCAGCCCTCTGATTATCTTCATGGTGTCCTCTGGACTTCCTCCAACAGCTTTACGTCCTTCTTATGCTGGGGCCCCAGAGCTGGACACAGGACTGCAATATGTGTGTCTCATGAGAGCACAGTAAGGGGAAGAATCCCTTCCCTCTACCTGTTAGTCACACTGGTGGTGAGGCCAGGCATTCAGAGTACTTTGCTTTGGAGTTCAGTTCCCATGCCTTTATTAAATATATTAAAACTTCGTATTCCTGAAATAATGACTCCTCATGGATTGCCATGTTCCACAAAAAAAATGTATTTCTGTACTATGGTTTTGTGCCTTATTTTGTGTCATTATGAATTTTAGTGATGAAAATAGAAAAAGAAAAAAAAAAAGTCCACCAAACCCCACCATGCCATAAGTTTAGCAATAAGCTAAATTTCAAAGCAAAAACTCTCATTCTGTTTGGGCCTAATGAAACCACAGTGGTAGAGAGACAACTTCACTGTACTTTGGGCCAAAGAGAGAGGAGAAAAGCCCACAGAAGTATGATTTCTATGAGTAGCTATAGCTAACAATGACAAGTTCTAGCAAATATTATTGCTTTATTGACTTTTCCTACATAATTTCTATAATTTGGAGAGAAAGCTAAAAGCTCTGGCCTTGATTTCTCCATCTAGAAAAAGAAGGTAGTTCCTTGAATACAACAAGGGTAGATCAGACAGATTAATTTATATTTTTTTTTCCCTGGAGGTTTATTGGTTTTTGTGTGTAGGCAATTATTATAATTTCTATTCAAAGGTTATTTTCTTTCTGTCATACATAAAGAAATAGTGAAAAGCAGTCCTAAAAATCAGTGAGATCGTCCAGGGGGATTCCCCAACAGCTATCAGCAGAACAGGGCTTTTCAGAGGACACTTTAAGTGGAAAATGTTTCTAATAGGGATACATAGTTGAATGCTAATAGACTTTTTGTTACTGTAACTGACAACTATGTCAAGTTAAACAACAAAGTGGTCTTACATTACAACAATGTAAATTACATTAGTGCTGAAATCAATGACAGTTGAAATTAAATCATGTTTTAGCTTTATTAGTCAGGACTGACAAATTTCAAATCCAAATAAAGAGTAACTGTTTGATACTGACTAGATATGAAGTAAGTTCAATATCAACAGAAGAAAACCAATAATAACTGTCATGCATTACATCCTCAAGCTCCCTGAAGCGTAAACATATTGCAGAGGCAAATAATATTTACTGAAAGAGCTCCCATCAGACCTGGGGTAAGAGGGTGGTGAGGGGAAGAAATAAAAAATTAAAATGAATCATCAGTCTCTCAATTTATGAAAACATTCAGGAAAGCAGCAGATCCCAACCCCCATGAAGTAGTGACGTTCTCTTCCTCCACCCTGCACATGCCTTTGCTACTTACACTAGCTTCTGGAAAGCTCAATAAATATTAGCATGCTGTTCACAACAAGCTATTGCTCTGAGATATTAGTTTATAAATAATGTATACAAATAACGATGAAACCAAGACACCGAAAGATGATATGCCTCGCAGAAGATCACAAGGGAAACCTGGAACCAAATGGAGGTTTCCCAATGCTCGCTGCTGGAACAGGCACCCACAGAACATACTATCACCTGCAAAACAACTCCTAGACCTTACTAACAGCCACAGCCACATTAAACCTGGCACAGCCCTATTAAGGGAGAAACTGTAAATAACCAAATGACTCCAAGTTTTGTAAAATCTCAGCCTAGAGTTCACTAACACATGCTAAGCATTCCACAAACTATATATGACTACCACTAACCCCCTCCTCAAGACAGCATTTTTCCTCTCAAGCCAACACTCTACCATTAAGGCTGTGGAAATATAAATACCTGATGCAGTCTGACAACTGTGCCATTGAAAAAAACAAAACAAAACAAAACAAAACCAAAAAAACCCAAAGACCTTCGTAAACTATAGTTCAAGCTCCTTACCTCTATCTGTAGACGTAGAATTCTCAGACAGCCTTTTGTAGCCTGCTGCTTCTACAGAACTGTCCATCCGTAGTTAGAATTTTTCCCCCCAGTATTTTTTTTCTTCAAAATCCAAAACAGCAAGTAAAAAAAAGCAGAAGCTACATCAAAAAATCCAACTATGCCCACTACCAAAAAGATAAATATATAAGTAATATATAATGTATATTTAACCCTGGATCTAAGAGTAAAGCAAGTCCACCAAGTCCAGGAGAAGAAACGAAGCAGTCACTTCACCTGTGTATATATATATGTGCACATGCCTGGGGTCTTATGACTTTTGACTCACCTGACAGCTTTGCTTGACAGTCAGCTCCTCTCTGTGCCCAAGGCCAGAATTTCCAAGCAAAAACCCATCTGGTAATTAAATCCATTTGCTGTTCCAGCACATTTTTCCCCAATATAATGACGCTTTCATTAGCATCAGACCTGCACTTTATTTTTTCCCTTCTCTTTCTCTCACAGAGAAGGGATTCATACCTTGCAGAAATACAGAGGTACACAAGGATAATCAAGATTGATTTTATTTACCAGTGAAAACAGTCATCAAGGGTACAGAATACAACTTATCATTTACGAACATTCAACACCATACTATAATTTAATACCAGACTTCAAAGAGTTGGATTAAAACACGTAAGAAATTTCACTACTGTTAAACTAAAGAACGAACAGTCGCAATCATTTGAAGTTAGCTCCAGACAGGTATTAACGTGTACATCCCCAGGTAGTATATGTACCACATATACTTTGAAAGTACACAGCACATTTATACATTCTGGTCATATAATTCTCTAATGGCTATTAACCTGTGATGATGGTTTCAAAGCTGCTAGAAAACATCATCCTATTACTTTTGCAACTCTATTCTCTTTGGGTCAGTATTACAGAAACTTTTCAGTCTTGCCTACTGGCAGCACTTTGCCTTTATAAAATAAAACTTTAACTCTTGTTAGCTTTAACAGCACCTAAATGGAGGACTCCTCATCATACTTAAGCCATGAAATAAAAGCAAAGTTAAATACACCAACATCATCTCTAATGAAACAGTGAGCTCATCATTATAGATCAAACAGCTCAGCCACTGTCCTTCAAATGAAAAGATTTGTAAGGAAGAAGGTTTTTTACTGTAAGGGTGGTGGGAGGCCCTGGCAGAGGTTGCCCAGAAAAGCTATGGCTGCCCCATTCTTGGCACTGTTAAAGGTGAAGTTGGACAGGGTTTGAACAATCGGGTCTATAGAAGGTGTCTCTGTCCACAGCAGTAGGGCTGGAACTAGATGAGCTTTAAGGTCCCTTCCAAAACAAACCATTCTGTGATTCTATGATTGCCTGAAATTCAGGATCTCTCATCCTCCCAGGACTTTAACCATTTTTTCAGCATTATGTCAACTCCCATCCTATTCCTACTAACATGGCTAAAAGTTACACAAAAAGACAAAATATTCATAGCTTTGTAAAACACACAAAGAAAAGCCTTATCTGCAGTAAAACATACCATTGCAGTATTCCCACCAGAAAAAAAAAAAAACAACACAAAAACAAAACAAAAAAACACCTCCAAACAAATGAAATAAAATACCAAAACCAATGAGCAGATGATAGTCAGTCCTTTAGAATACCATATAAAGGACTATGTTGGTAGAAAAAATGAAAATGAAATAAACATATGGCTTTCAAGTACATGTAAATTCAGACAACAATAGGTTTATAAACTTGAATGGGTGACAGTCCTTCAACTGCTTCCCTTTATGCAGTGGAAGGCGCCCCCGAAGTGATTTCACAATAAGGTCTCCCATTTTTTTTTTAAGAAATATGTATTTTCCCCACACGTGTGTCTGCAGACTGGATGCCACGTTTCCTCCCCCAGCTTGGGCTCCACAACACCAAAACACTATCTGCCCCCCCCTTTTTTTTTTTTAAGCAAACACTTCATCCTTATGATACATCTGCCACCCCAAACTGAGTGCAGCACCACAAAAAACTACATGGAGTAACACAGCACGAGAACTAGGATTAGCAGCACAGAGATGAGGATTACATTTCCGGCAGCATCACCACAACATTGTAGAAATTCTTTAGCTAACACACAGCTGAGTGGTTGCTTCTATAAAAAGGAGGTGACTCACCCTCTCTTGTGAAGTACTTTGAGATCATTCAATGATTGTAAGCATCACTAATTACCCCAGGAGCACACAATGAGCACAATCAGCCACTGTAATAATCTCCCCAGGGAAGTGGTGGGCTCCACACCATTGGACATTATTAAGATTAGGCTGGATAGGGTGCTGGGATATCTACCCTAGGTCATGCTTTGCCTAGAAAGGTTGAGGTCCCTTCCAACCTGGGATTCTAGGAATCTATGACACTCCCATCTTTTTTTTTAACTAAAAGCCTGAGACACAATTTCACCAGGTTTCTAGCTCTACATTTCTCCAGATGATGCTACAAGGTAAGCAGTATTCAGGGATGACCCTCCAAGAGGTGCAGCAGGCAAAGACACAAAGTATGTCTACTATGGCACACAGAGGAACTCAGCTGCACTCATTTGCAAACAGATTACAACAGATCCCCTCTAAAGACCAGCCACTTTGAGGTGCTTCTCATGCTTTCATCTTTCTGTGGAAAAGCCATTTTGATACCACCCCACTTCTGGTACAGAGCAACTTAACAGAAGACCATCCACCTCTTCCAAATACATTAAAGGATGGGACTGCCTCAGTTCTCATCGTTTTGCCCACACCAGCCCCTTACAGCATCCAGGTTAAACCTCATCAGCTTTCCTTTTAACCTCAACCCTGTCTCAACTTCTCCAACCCAAAATACAGACATATGTACACTTCCAAAACCTCAATTCCCTGCCCCACTTCTGCACCCCTTCTCTCACTACCTTCTCCTTTCCCAATACTAAGCCCAAGACTATTTCCTTACCCCAAGATAGCATTCTCCCCCTCCTGAAAAACATTTCCATCCCTTTCTCTTCCCTTTGTCCCAAGTACAAAGATAGTCTTCCCCTTCCTCACCCCAAACACAACTAGATATTTATCCAGTCTCTGTCCTTTTCCTAACATCATAAGAGACACCATTCTTTCTCTAGTCCTACTAGCGAGAGCCGTAGATTAGCCGCCCAAAATCCTCTTCTCTCCTTCACTGCTAGGCCAGGCTCAACTGCAATCCTCACCTCTGCCAGAGCTCTAAGACAACCCACACACAACTTCCCCAAGGCCAGAACCACTTCTCCCTTTGCTGTCTATCCTTCCCCTACATGTAAGCCCTCGTTCCCACAACACCCCCTCCGCTTTCAGCCAGACCCCCACCCCTTCCCCTAGGCCAACTTTCAACCTCTCCATCTTCATCCTCCTCCCAGGCTCAGACCAAACCGCTCTTCCTACACCCTTACTCAAACACCACCAATCTCCTCCCTTCCTCTGACCCCCATTAGAGACCCCCAGCACCAAACCAAACCCGCACTCACCTCCCCCAGTGCGGCGTCCCCCGCATCGGCAATCTGCGCCTGCGCCCGCTGCCCTCTCTTATTGGCTGAGCCGCGTGCCGGTGCTCTCTCTTTCTCACCCCCCGCCGGGCTCCGCCTGCCGAGCACTGAGGTTCCGTGAGCGGTTGCGGGAGCTTGTTTGTTCCGCCGCTCGCCCCGGGGTGCTGCCCCGAGAGGGGTGGGGGTGAGTATCCGTCCCCCTGTGTCCTCTAAGCTTCTGCGGGACGCGGGCTGCGCGGGCGGACCGAGAGCCTAACTTGGGGATTGCGTGTGCGACGCTGTGTGGGGTCCGGGTCCTCTCTCTGGAGCTCCGTAAGGGGGAACCGCCTCATGGCCGCCCTATTTTACCCTCTAAGCACACGGGTCTTCTCTTCCCCTTCACCCTCAGTGTTGTCCCGCTCCTGAAGCCTATCCCTGCAGGTTATATGACCTTATTTCTCTTGGGCCTCCTCCCCCCCGCTTTGTCCTCCGTTTCCCCTGCCTTCCTGGACACCTCCCTTTTATTCACTATTATTTACCTTTTTGGTGGTTGTTTTTTAAGCCTGTAATTCGTGCCTGGTCCATAGAAAAAGGTTTTGGGGAGGGTGGGGTGTGCCAGAGTTTACACCGGACAAAAGGGTGAGCCTCAGTACTGCCACTGAGCTGCAGTGGTTTTCCAGTGTCCTAGATGTATAGGAGGTTTCCTTCCCTCGAGCCCTGAAATTAATTCATTTAGCAGGGATATCCCCCTGAAAGTAACGTTTCTGTTGTTACAGGAAGGAACCCAGACAGTGTGGTCACCTTGTCAAGAAGGTGATGAGGGAAAAGCGACATCTTCACCATCCATAGGTGCCTGTCTTGTCAAATACCCACCGGCACTAAACTTTATAAACTATGAAAGATCCTAATTAGCCAAATATGGTGGGATGCTCCTGCATGACTTCTTGGTTTACCTCCTGCCGTTTATATTTTCCTGTGAGTTTTCATGGATTTAAAGCCTCAAGCCATGTTTTACGGCAGTTGTTGTTTTGTGGTTTTTTTTGCTGTAGCATAAGAGGATAGAATCTATTCAAAGCTGTCTTGGCTAAGCCAGGAAAGATATCCAGCCTGCATGGACAGGGCAACATTTGCCTGTTCCACTGCCTTTTTTCGTGACTATAGCAGTTCATCTCAGGGTGCATTCTGCCTCCCCGGAGGACACGTTGACTTTATTGAAAAAGTAGAATCATTCACTTACTCAGACTTTTTCCGGGATTATTTGATTCCCAACCATCCGTGTATTTTCTCAGCTAAATTCACTGAAGACTGGGGCAGCAGGAGAAGTTGGGTCACTTGGGATGGAAAGCCTAACTTTGATTATCTGCTGCAGAAGTTTGGTAAGTCATGGCATTGCTAATACTTAATAAAATTTTGTATGCTAAATAACATCTTAATTTTAATCTTCACAGTAGAACAGCTAGACAAAACCTAGAAATTCTTCAGACTTTTTTCCAAGTTAATACATTCATTTTTTATACTTACTCACACTTTGTTTTGCAGATTTCAAAATCAAATTTATGCCCACAATGAAATGGTGTTGTATAATTTAACCATACTGATTTATACACCTGCTTAACATTAACCAGAGGAGCAGCCTGATACTTTTCTCAGACAAGGAGAAAATATTCTGTAGTTACAGTGAAATATCCTTTCAGGTGCTAAAATTTTTGTATATTTAGTAGTAACTAATACCCCAATCCTAATATAGTTTAAGAGAAAAATTCAGGTCACATTAAATAAACAACTTCTGGTCTGAATCATGTTTGCCTGGAATGATGGTGTTGGGAGTGAGAGCTAGCCTTTATGTATTTGTACTTACTTAGCATTACATTATAGGGCCCAGAAATTAGAGGCCTCTGCAGCTGATAAGGAAGCTCAGTTATAGCATCACTGAATCTGTCCCCACCAGGGCTGAAGTAGTTTATATTTCAGGAGAGGCTGTAGTACCTGTTGCCAACTGTGATGTCAAGGAGTACAATTCTAACCCAAAGGAGCAGCTCCCCTTCAAGGAGTATATCAAGTACTGGAAAGAGTACATTAAAAATGGCTACCGTTCATCCCGAGGGTGTCTTTATCTAAAGGACTGGCATCTGAGCAGGTAAGAGAGTGCTGTGGAAAACCCTGCATGCCACTCACAGCAGAGAGCTGGCACAGAGCCTAGTGCTCATCTTCCTATGCCTGAGAGTTCAAATGCCACCAGTGCTGTTTATTAGAGCCCTCCCACCAAAATACCTGCTTATGCTGCACTGTTCTTGGGGTATTTCACATGGCAAGGTCCTTAAACAGGCCATTGTTTCTCGAAGAAGCTGACATTCTTGGGCACTTTCATCTACAGTTTGAATGACTGTGTTATCCCTGTGGAAACATGTGGCTGGAGCATGTGGGTTTTGTTTGACTTCTACAGTGCAAACCTTACTTTTTTAAAAGAAAGGGAACATTTCTGTCTGTTTTAGAAAAACGTTCAGTGAGCATGTGTGATTTATAATCCTTCATTATCCATTTTCTTTTCTGCTAACCTTCCCAGTCATTACAAGTTCTCTTCCCAGTATTCTGCCTTACTTCTTGTCCAGCCTGCTGCTTGTGAGATGGATGCATTGTCTGTTTCTCATGTCTGTGTAGGACTTTAATGTCTTTTTACTCAACTCTTTTCTTCTTTAAACATATCCTGCTCATAATCCGACATTCTTGTGATAAGCTCTTGTTATAATTTTTGTGCCAGTGACTTACAATAGAGGAAATCTGTCAGTTTCTGCCTCCCTGTTCATCTGCTTTCCCGATTTCATGGCTTGCTACAGAAAAACTGGACATGCAGCCTGCAGTTGGAAAGGGGCAGCATATCCTGTGTGAGAAGGCCACGCATTTGTCAAAAATGCCACAGCCTGGCTTCTCTCCTAACCTTCACACCTCCAGCCTGTCAACCAGTTGGACAACCAGTCTTGCAGGCATCTCATCTATAAATACTGTGTTTATTTGAAACTGTTATAACTAGGAGTCTCCCAAATAGCAGTTTAGCCTCACAGCTTTCCTGAGAGGCAGAAAAGCACCTTTGCATGAATTTTACACATAACTCAATGTTGTCGTAGGATCATAGAATGGTTTGGGTTAGAAGAGACCTTAAAGCTCATCCAGTTCCAACCCACTGCCACAGCCCAGCGACTTGTGCCAGGGAAGAACCATCACAGGGAGAAACTTTTTCCTAATACCTCATCTAAATCTTCCCTCTGTCAGCTTAAAGCCATTCCCCCTTCTCCTATCCCTTCCTGTCCTTGTCAAAAGCCCCTCTCCAGCTTTCTTGTTGGCTCCTTTAGGCACTGGAAGCTGCACTAAGGTCTCCCCAAAGCCCTCTCTTCTCCAGGCTGATCAAGCCTAACTCTCTGAGCCTGTCTCCATAGCTGAGGTCCTCCAGCCTTGGAGCATCTTCATGGCCTCTTCTGGATTCACTGCAACAAATAATGTGAAGGAGACGGCAGCTAAGCATTAATGGCCTGTCAGAGATCTGTTTGGTCTTTGCAACTGGGTTTTGAAAACTGAGGTTAAAAGTGAAATGTTTCATTTTTCTGAGACCCATTTCCAACACATTTATCTTTTCAAGAGCTTTCCCGGAGCAAGATGTTTATACAACCCCTGTGTATTTCTCATCTGACTGGCTGAATGAATACTGGGATGCTATAGCTGTGGATGATTACCGGTTTGTCTACATGGGACCTAAAGGTTCATGGTAAGCCAGTGTGGTTTCTGTCATTCTTACATCCTTTTTTATTTTTTTTTAATTAATATTACAGGGGGTTTCACATTGTCCTTGAGGATAGCATCATGCTGCAGAGGGAGTGTGGCCTTACTGCTTAGTGCTGTACCTGAATCCATCCAGTCTTGTTTCTCAAGCACATCTCCTATGGTTCTGGATGTGAGCTGTGCTTATGCAGCCAGCTAGAGTTCTTTTGTGCTTCAAAAAGCCCTGAATTGTACCCACAAGACGAGCTAGCTTACATAAGGTTTCAGAGCAGAAACTCTCTGGGGATCATCCAGCACTTGTGATTTGCAAAGTCAGAAGAAGACGTGGAGCAGTGCTGATGAGCTGGTCACATATTTTGCAGGTGAAAAATTAAGTCTGGTGTTGGTGATAAAGTTGTCTTTAGAGTAGTCTCATCAGTTCACATCACAGAATCTTTTGCCATTGAGGTATTTGTGGGTTAGGTTCAAAACTAACTGATGGAGAAACATGGGGTATGAAAGGCTGAAATACTATGTAGATATACTTGCCTTTTAATATATAAAACAATCAAAATTAAAAGGACAGGTTTGGATCAGATTTTACATAGTAAAGGTTGATTTCTGTGTATTTGATTATCAGAGATTTTAATTCATCTATCAGCTCTTAAGCGTTGTCTTCACTTAAATGTCTGATTTGCCCCGTAGGACTCCATTCCATGCTGATGTCTTCCGTTCCTATAGCTGGTCAGCCAATATATGTGGGAGAAAAAAATGGCTGTTGTACCCTGCAGGACAGGAGGAGTACCTGAAAGACCGCCACGGCAACTTGCCTTTTGATGTGACTTCACCTGGCCTTCAGGACAGGAGTGTTTACCCTCGCTACAACCAAAGTCAACCCCCTGTTGAGATTGTGCAGGAAGCAGGGGAGATAGTCTTCATCCCCAGCGGATGGCATCATCAAGTTTACAATCTGGTAAGGTAACTGATACCATTGTTTTCATTACACAGGTTGATTATCAGCCAGCAGGATTGAATCAGTTCAAACCTCTGTTGCCACAGTATGCTGTGTTTTTAAGCCAAAAGTTTAACTGGGATGCAAAAAGCTTAGAGAGATTCACAGAGGAAAGGTCTGTTGGTCGCCACTCAAGATGGTGGCTAAAAGCAAGCCTGAGTTCATAAGCTCCTTGGGTCACTGAAGAAGCTGTCTGCACCCTCTTTTCTTACACTTGTCATCATTAGGTGCTACTACTAGTTGCTGAGAAATGCGGTACTAGATGAGATGGACCTATGGTGAGGCTGTTAATCTTGGTTTCTGACTGTAAATTGTAATTTAATAATGGAAAATGCTAACAAATTGGTCTTCATGATTACAAACCAAAATTAAAAACCTTACTCCTTTCTCCCCACTGCCTTCTCCTACATTTGTGCTCTTGAAAGTTATGCTTAGACAGAGGAAGTAAAGATGTTTACCAATTTAGAGTGAAATAAGAGTTGGTTGCTCGGAGATGTTAGAAATAGACAGTCTCTCAGGACAGTGATGCCAAAGAAGCATTTCCCTTGCTGACAAATATGGTTTTACATTTTGCAGCCTCAGTGATGATATAGCTGTTTTTTCTCATTTTCCTTCATAGAGCCTAATAACCATTTAAATTATTCCTTCAGGAGGATACCATTTCCATTAACCACAACTGGGTGAATGGCTGCAATGTGGCTATAATGTGGTGCTTCCTACAGGATGAATTAGCAGCTGTCCAGCGGGAAATCAATGAATGGAAAGACCCTATGGATGATTGGCACCTACAATGCCAGGTATAACAATGTGATGCTGGCTGCATGACTTAGGGAATCATATGCTTCAGGGATGCTTTGCACCACCTTATTAGAGCTCTTAAGACACAAAAGTCCTTAACCTCATACCTGGAATTAGTACATTTAATCAAGAAGCAGGAACTGGTGACAACTTCATTTTGCAGGAAATCACAGAACCCTAGAATGGCTTGGGTTAGACCTTAAAGCTCACCTAGTTCCAACCCTCCTGCTGCAGGCAGGGACACTTTCCACTAGAGCAGATTTCTCAAAGCCCCATCCAACCTGGCCTTGAACACTGCCAGGGATGGGGCAGCCACAGCTTCTCTGGGCAACCTGTGCCAGTGCCTCACCACCATCATAAGAAAGAACATCTACCTCAGATCTCATCTAAATTTCCTCTCTCTCGGTTTAAATCCATTCCCCCTTGCCCTGTCGTCACATGCCTTTGTCAAAAGCCCCTCTCCAGCTTTCTTGTTGGCCCTTTTAGGCACTGGAAGCTGCCCTTAGGTCTCCCTGGAGCCTTCTCTTCTCCAGGCTGAACAAGCTGAGCTCCCTCAGTCTGTCTCCATTGTGGAGGTGCTCCAGCCCTCAAAGCATCCTTGTGGCCTTCTCTGGACTTGCTCCAACTACTCCACATCCTTCTTATGCTGGGAGCCCCAGAGCTGAGCACAGGACTGCAGGGGGGTGTCTCACCAGAGTGGAGCAGAGGGGGATAATCCTTTCCCTTGATCTGCTGTTTCTGCTACTGGTGATCTAGCTCAAGACACGGTTGGCTTCTGGGCTGCAACCATACACTGCCAGTTCATTTTGAGCTTGTCAGGCAACACCCCAAAGTTCTTCTTAGGGCTGCTCCCAATGCAGTTTCTGCCCAGCCCGTTTTTGTGTTTGAAATTACCTTGACCCAGGGGCAGGGCCTTGCACTTGGTCTTGTTGAACTTAATGAGGTTTATACAAGTCAACCTCTCAAGCCTGTCCAGGTATCTCTGGGTGGCAGGAATGAAATCTTACTTTATTAAGATAGGAAAATGCTTATGCCAGTGCATATTTGATGTGTCAGGGAGGTTAGGATATTGTCTGGAAAACTACTGCTTCAAATGCTCTTCAAGCTTAGTATTAGCATCCGGATCAATCTTTTATGTAGTATTTCCATTCCCCTTTACAAAATATGAGTGCTTTTCATGTAAACAGAAGAACTGGTAAGACAGGCCCCACACAGAATAACTGGTTTGAAGACCATTCACGATGAAAGAGTGAACGTGAAATAAGAAAAATTAAGGTAAAGGTGGCAGCAAGTTTCTGTATCTGCAAAGTGATGCTTTCAGAACATCTGACTGTACTGAACAGGGTTTTCTGTCTTGTATGCTTCCAAAATCTTAAGCATGAAACAAATGTAAAGCTTATTTCTTGAGGCTGTTATTGCTGGCAGGTTGGTATCCTTCGAAAAGAGTTTCAAATAACACAGCCATTTAGCAAGAACAGTGTTGCTTTGGGGTCTAGTGGCATTTCAAGTAAGGTTAAGAATTTTAGTGCCATTGTGGAATTACAAAAAATATGATTAAACATAGTTACTTATGATTCGAACTCATTGCTAGCTTGATAAAATGTTTTAATTATTCTTACTATAAAGAGTTGTTTTCATTTCAGTGCTGGGTTGTTTTGTTTTGTTTTGAACCTAGTTGATCATGAAGTCTTGCACGGGTATAGACTACAAGGAGTTCTATAACTTCCTCAAAGTTATTGCAGAGAACAGAATTTCTGTCTTGGAAAATGGCCTCGATGATGAAGCTTCAGCAAAAAACACACCGAAAGCTGCCATTTCCACCTTGGGCATGCTCCATGCAGTGTTTGATTTAAAGAGGACTGTGAAGGTGTTAACATCATTGAGTGCTAATGAAGATTTCAAGAAACTAGACCTGACGTCACTTTCTCCACCTCCGGAGGCATTGCTCCACCACTTGAAAGCAGCAATAGATACAGCACTACTCTAACTTCCTATTTATTCCATTCTTCGTAAAATGAACCTTTTGCAAAATGTTTGTAGAAGACTGACTTCTCCCTGTTTAATAGCTCTTGCAGTTGAAGTATAGAGAGCCTTAATATAGAGTGAGGAGAGAGTACATTCATAAGACAACTGAATGCTTTTTAAGTTGACTCCACTTGCATATCTAGAGTAATTGGGCAGGAAAAAAAAAATTCTCAGATAAAGGATAAATCCAAATCATGTTAATATTATATTTTGAACCCTGCTGGTGAATATGCTTGCAGGGAAGAGGGAACAGAAATTCTCTGTGGATCAAGCTTTAGGTCTGTCAGGACTAAACACTGATGTTGCAGTGGTCTTACACTGAGTGAGGTTGCAGTGGTCTGCACCATACTCCTACTACTGAGAGCACTGCGTACAGACGGCAGACCTACATTGCGGATTCCAACAGTTAAGCTCTGGTTTGGTCACAGCTAAATTACTGTAAGACCTGTCCTGTTTCCAGGTACAGCTCCACTTTTCTTTTTTTATGGGTTTGGGGTTTTTTTTAGGAGACCCCAGTTAGTTAGATTCCATTGAAGCCTGAAATGGCTCAACAGTTGTACCTTGGCTGTGGAAGAGCTGACTGTACCCAGTGGCCTGTGAAATGGTATCTCTCTAAAGCTGAAAGTCTCAGGCAGGATCAGCCTTCATACTGCTCCAATGGCCTGCAGGTTTAAATTTAACATAATAATCGGGAAGCTCAAGTCCTCGTTGCAGATGAGTGCAGGCAACAAATCTGCCAGTGATAATTTAAGCATTCACTCCACCCAAGCTCTAAAGAAGGAACTTAAATGTACTCTCACATTTCTACATGCTATTTCAAGGCACAATATTTTATCAAGCAGAGATTTGATTAATCGGGGAAGTAGCAAGTAGCCTCGTGTTATCTCCTAAAAAAGCCATGTTGTTACCACACCAAATAACACTACTGCATGGTTACTTAGCACAATTTGCAACCCTTGGGCTCAAGGAGTATCTCTAGTGAAGCATCCCTCTTGCTTTTACTGGCTGGTAAGAAAGCCTAGAAGCACAAATGGCTGCACACTGTTACCTTAGTTGCCCCTTTAGGGCTCACTTGAATTACTGCTCAAGAACTTCCTCAATTTTCAACCATATGACTATTAAGAGCAATTAATTGTATGTTTAGTGCAATAGTAGAAATCTTTAGTAGGTTGAAAAATCACAGTTTTCTAGATAATGCTGTAGAATTTGTACGTGCATGCATTTTGCATGTCCTGTTTTCTAGTAGAAGTTTTGCATTTTGAATAAGGAAGTGGTACCTGAAAATAAAACCAATACCCAGAGCATGGATAAATGCAATATGGAAAAAACAAACTTTTTTTCCTTTTTTTAAACAGCTGTGACTACATCTCAGTGATTCAACCTTCTGGCAGGGTGTTTCTTTAGACTGGAAAACTGCCAGTATTAAGCAGCTCTGAAATTAAAAGTTCACAGCTGTTACTTATGTCTGTTTACATTCTCAAGGACAGGCAGCTGCAGCTGTCTGCCTTAGATGAGTCAGGTGAGAGCTCATAGAGATGAGGAACAATGGTTTAAAGCTGATAATCAGTGTAATGGTTGGAAAGCATGGTTTTGGTCTTGTATCCCCCCATCTCACTGCATGCTGTGCAAGTGGTATAGGCACCAACCCCTTTAAACACAGCAATTTTATCAAGGGCTTGCTTAGATCAACAGTACTTTTCATTTCACATCCTGCGAACTGCTTGGATTTGCTGTGTGAAACCAGCAAAATACAAATGAAGGTTTTACACCAAGAACCTAGTATCTCAAATTCCCTGGGGTCTGTTTAGACATTGTACTATCCGGCTGACTACAGCCTCATTTGGATGGATGGCATGAGTTTGCTGTAATGCAAAAATCCAGGCAGCAGTTCTCAGGGAAGTGGCATCATTTCTGCAGTTAATTCCTCTTCCCCGTAGAAAGTAGTCAAGGAAGGAAGAAAATAGGGTGAATAAAGAGGCATTCAAGTAAAGGAAGGTGGGTCTCAATGACTTACTCTCTCTTTACTTGAGCTGTCCCTACACCATAGCATCTTCAGCTCCAAAGAGGTGTAAGAGCCCTCCTTCATAAGGCCTGCTAAAACTTAGTGCAAGACAATGGTGGAAAAAAATGGTGATTTAATTGCAGGAAATTATGTTAAAAGTTTAAGCCATGTCCTCACTGATTCGGTAGGGAACAAATTATGCATTCAGTCTGCTAGAATTACATTAGGAAACTAATTTGTAGTTCAAATTCTCCATTCCCATGAATGATCAAAGCAGTGAGGGGGCCATGTATTTTCTAAAGATAAAGAGAGGAAAGCAAATTCTCAAATGCCTGAGAACAGCAACAAGATCAAAATAAGAAATATGTGAGCCTGGAGTCTTAAAAATTAAACAGTTTTATTTAAATACAAAGTTACTGTGAAACATACATTAGGATATTATCATACCAATATATTAACTATTGTAATCTATGTACTATTTATTAAAGCATAATACTTGTGATAAACAGGAGGAAGCTGCCTGTGAAGTTTTGTTATGTTTTCCTTAAGTCACAAAAGTGGGCTTTAAAGTCGAACTTTAAAAAAACTAAAAAAAAGGGCAGGTTAAAATCTAGTTCAAAGGAGCTTTTCCTCTAAGTCGGCAACTGCAATACTACTATTTTTATCTGAGAGTAGCAGGATACCAAATGTCTGTTTGCCTTTCATAAAAGCAGCATAAAACCCAGCCCAATTCTAATCTGATTTGTACTCCACTGGCATCAGTGGGTGGTCTGTCAGCAAAAGCTGTGAACTTTAGAAAACCAGTGGTTTGCAGCAATGTCAGTGCAAAAAGCCAGGTGGTTTTTGTTTTCTGTCACCAGGATTTGAGATTTCTTACCCCAGAACAACGCATGTTCTTTCTCTTCGGCGCACACAAACCCCTGCAGAATTACAAAGCAGCACTAATATGTTCAAGGTGCAAGTGTGATATCCCTGAGATTTAACAGGAGTTTGCAGAGTGTAAATATACACTTGTAAGTATCATAAAACGAGGAAGTTAGTCAATAGCAGCTTTACAATGCAATGAAGAGGTACTGAATTTGTCATAGGTAGGAAGAGGAACTGGAAAAAACCTTCCTCTTAAGGATGCAGGAAAAGCCACCTTACTCTAGAAGCAGGTTGTTTAGGAGGATGGAGATGGCCTGTCCTGTCCATGCTGCATTTCTGCCAACCAGAAACAGTCACACCAGAATACTTGCCTATGGTTTAATTTGACTTTTCTATAAATAACCTCTCATGTCAGTTCACCAGTGCAAAACAAACACAGTATCTAAAAGAACATTTAAATGAGGTTTCAAGGCAGGTTGCTATTTGCAGGAAAGGGAAATAAAACTACAGAGAAAAAGAAACCTTGGCCACTTTCTGCAAAGACGTTCCCAAACACAAGCTGAAGTTGCATCTTGAAGGCTTTTAGTCCACAGCATCGGTATGTCTGTGCTTTACAATCACAGCTAGTCTAAGAGAAAACCCAGCAAGAAACCCTCATCTGATACATAACCATTCTTCCCTTTTAAAAAGCAACCAGAACAGCAGGGACATAATTGCTTCTTCATCCAACTGTGTTTGATCAAAAAGTGCAGCAGAGAGGAGGCTCCCTTTGGGTCCTTGGACTCAGGAGCTGTGAGTCATGTGGCAGTTCTCTCTCTGGTGGAGCCTCATCCTCTGAATGTGTTCATAGCAAGACTGGGAAAGAAAGAGAGGAATCCTTTAAGAAGTTTCAGAACTTTGGCCTAAATTCTGGTCTCCTGCACACAAAGCAAAGCTACACTGCCCCCAAAAGCAGGATTAAATCTGCACATTACAAATGAATGATAGGCATATTCTCTAGACTAGAAGTAAAATAACCTCCTGTGCTAGGCATATAAGCAGCTTCCTAAAATTAAGGATATAGCACATCTGTATTGCTACTATTCAACACAGGTTAATGCAGTTTGCAACGTTCACTGCTGAAAACATTTCCTTACCTCCAGGGCAGTTAACAGGAAGTCATACAGTCCTCCTTGATTGGTAGGGTCCATCAAGTCCCTAATCAGATGGATTTCAGCTCCCAGATGCTGTATTCTAGGAAAAATAAAAGTCACAACTAGAACAAATCTCTGGGCATCTGGTGTTTGTGGTCATGTACTTCCAAATCAGATTATGGAGAGAAGAAAGCACAGGTCTGTAAGTCCACTTCTGATTCCTTGTGTATCACCTTGACCTTCTGGAGGCTGAGTCCTTGAGGTATCTGACGTGACTGGATCTCAGCAGAGATAATTGTAAGAGAATTTAAACTTTTTCATTTTTTACAGTCTCTTATTCCCCTCCTGTCTCACCTGCAGTTGAGAAAGCTGGCTAGCAAACAAAACTGTATCATCCAACATGACAGCAGCAGGGGGAGCTTCTGGATTTCATGGCTCCAAGTTCAAGTATTTCACCGTTTTTTGAAGACCAAACATATCCAGGAAGCCAGTGAGGGATTTTCACTCAAATTTACCAGGAAATAAATATATACAGTTTCATTCTACTGGATGTAAGTGGGTCCCTGCAGTTACACTGAAAGCAGCACAGAGCTTCTGTAAATGTGACACATTTCTGCCAAAGTCATTCCTACACAGGGAAAGTCTAATAACTACATGGTCAGTGTTCAGGACCTTCCTAGTCTTCAAAATGGATCACAGTGCCCCATTGAGAATGGAAAACAGAAGATGCATGATATACAGATGATGCCTGGAAAGCATTAACAATTGGCCTTCAAAGGCTTCATGTTTCTATTTTCTACTGTAATCTGACATGCATGCAAGACTGCATTTCCCATGACAACCCTGAATTATCCTCTTGGGTAAGAGATGTACACTCAGGAAGTCCCTAGCCACTTCACATATCATGGCCAACACCATCACACCACACCTGGCACAGTAGCACACAGAAACCCCAGTACAGCTCAGGAAAAAACATGTACAAAACAGAAACCCTAGCTTTTAATGTAAATTATTTTGCTTGGAAACATGGCTGTTCTTTCTCCAATTGAGGTATCACACAACAGCAGGACTGGGAAATGAAAAGCTTACACTTACTTTGCTCGGGATACAACATACATCAGTAGAGGCAACAGGTCATCCATGGGAAGCTTGTAGTCCTTCTCCACCACCCGGGACACTGTGCTCTCAATCTCCTCATATGTCTTCTGGAGGATCACCAGCTTTTCCCGGGGATCCACTGTGGTGCTGTCGGTAGGATTACAGCCATGTCAAATGTATGGCATTTCTCAGAAAATAGAAAATCCCTGGTTATCTGTCAGAGGTTATGGACAGTGACTTACATGAGCTTCTGCAAACATTCTGTGGCAGACAGGAAACACTTGTCTTTTATAAGGGACCTCCTCTGAAAGGGAGACAAAGAGTTGTGCCTCTGTAACAGCATCTCTTAGAGAAGCCACCACATGGCTCCTCATCACTGGACCCAAAGTAAACACATTTGCTGCCCATAAAAGAGGGCAAAATAAAGCTGTTGTAGTAAATGCCACTGTGAACACACTGAGATGTCTGAAGTGCCACTCTGAACACAGATGTCTTTGAAACATCACCAAGTAGAGCATTACAAAGCAATCTTATTCGGAGCTCACATTCCCATCCATGGAAAATCATACACAGTAGCTACAAATCATAACTAATCAACACACATCACATAGCTCTGATCTCTGAGTACAATTTCTGCCCTGCGATTACTTAGGTGAAGCTCCATTATTAGTCAGCACCAACATGTAGCCTGATGCCAGCTCACACACCAAGGCTAGCTGTTAGCATTATTTCCTACCTGGTTGTTTGTCAGGGTGAGATCTTTCAGAGGCCAGAGGTGTCTGAAAGGAGATAACAGAGAAAAGATTTAGAAGGCCAATCTCCATATGTTCACCCTTAGTCAATTCTGACTGCTTTTATCTCCTTATTCAAGGTGATGCTACTAAATGCATGCTAAGCGCATGCTACTGATGCACTATTGTAGGTGCATGAGACTGTTTGCTTGTCTCTTTACTCCGCTACAGGAATAATTAATAACTTGGACTCTTTAACCTGAGTACAGTGTTCATTTTACTCACAGGTGCTCCTGTAATAATCAGTTGAGAGTTTTGGCGCTTTTAGGGTCAATTCCTCTCACTGAGTCTAGACTGAATTAAACTGCCAAATTGAGACTCCAGGTCTCCTGTTACCCTGCCAAAGTCCTTGAGCTGCAGATGATGCTGTGTTAGAAAAGCTCATGTGCATCTTGGGTCTGTGGTATCATTGATCCTCAGGTATCACTTCCGAAGAGGGATCTAGCTGCAAGAATGGATCTGGCTCCACAGCCTTTTCCCTGTCTTGAGACTCTGTCCGTACTCTGTTACGGCAGATGCCATCAGATGGACTACAGCCCTTTCTAAGGCACATTTATAAACTCAGTTTGATTGGTCCTGAGCTGAAGGAGGCCATTTGTTTGGTAAGCTAGAAGATACAATTTTTGTTACACAAAATTAACATTAGTATAGCTAGCAGCAGCTTTCCACTAGTCAATGCTGTCCTTCCAGACAGTACTGCGGGCATTCCAGACAGGACTTCCTCTGGCAGCCCAGGAAAAACTTCCATGCTACAGCCAGTGATGGACCCAGGAAAAGGTTGTATGTCCTTTCCTCCTATCAAATCAGAGGTTTCCCTGGCTGCTACTTTCCCAGCTGGTATCATGGGGTTACATTCTGGTATGAAGAATTTCACTTACTTCTGCACATCCAGAAACTCTAGCAGCTTAATGTCAGGAAACAGACTTAGATCCATAATCCCTTGGCAGTAGAGGTCATCTTCTCTTTCATGATAGAGCATGTAGAGCATGAAAAGCTCAGGATAGAAGCAAGGCAAGATCAGCGGCAGGACCATGCTGCATGCCTTCTCATCACTGTGGCAGAGAAAAGCAGAGTCCTACAGTGAGACCTATAACCTTGGTATTACCAAAAGCCCCATGGCACACAATGGAAGAGACAGCTTCTGAGCCTGCAAGGTATTCCTCTTGTTCTCCCACCCTTCTTCCACCTTTTGTTCAATGTCACAGTTGGACAGTAATGACCTATACAACACCCTCATGCATGTGCCCACAAGCTGGAGATGCAAGTGTATTTTATGCTGTAGGACAGGATGGGTAACGATTTCTCCACTGTTTCTTTAATCACAAAGAAACCTGGAGCACTAGAGACCTATGTCAAGCTGTTCTTTCTGAGCTGTTTTAGTAGAGGACCTATTATTTCTTAAGGAATAAAACTGAAATAAATTCAGATAAAGCCTTTTTCTAGCTCCTTACCATTCCACTAATCTCCTGACTTCATTCAGCCCACATGGGGATGGCTCCAGATTACAGCAAAGAGAAATCCAAACAAAATGGGGACAGCTGGACAGAGATACTTCTCACCCACAAAAAACATAAACCTGGGGCTCCCACAATTATTCCTACCTTATTATTCTAGGAATATCA